AAATAAAAAAAAGTTAATCCCTGATTGTCTTTAAGTAAGTCCACATTGGAAGCAAGTCCACATCTGTGAGCAAAACGTGTGAATACGATATAAACAAGGATGGGGGAGAGGGGAGATATATGGAGAGAAATACAGAGAGAATGAATGAATGAATGAATACGAGGGAAGAGAGAGAGAAAAATGGAGATAGATAGACATAGAGGGAGGGAGGGAGGGAGGGAGGGAGGGAGGGAGGGAGGGAGAGAGAGAGAGATAGAGAGAGAGAGAGAGGGATGGGCGGGAGGGGCAGAAGAGTAGAAAAACTGGGTGCTGCATGGTATCAATCAACTTATGATTAAAATCAATAGGGAACTCCTAATCAAGAAAATAAGAACAAAATTAATTCATTAAACGCCAGGGTAGATACTATATAGCTGTTTGAGGACAGTGTAAAAGTAATCATCTCTAATTTCTTACAAGTCCTTTTCATTTCTAAAACATAATACTGCTGAAGATTAGAATTGTGATGGAATGACCTAAAGATGGCGCTATTCACAAATGTTCATACACACATGCCAAAGATCAAAATTGTGATGGAATGCCCTAAAGATGGCGCTCTTCACAAATGTTTCTTTTCACATTATTGACAGAAATCACAAACAAAGCTGGCACATTTTCATCACTAAGATGTACAAGAAAAATCTATTACTGCCACAAATATCTTTGGCTGTCAAATTCAGGTCTTGTGACTGATATCTATTTCAAATTGCCATCGCCTTCATTAAATCAAAACTCTTCATAAAAAACTGGAGCTCTGCTTTTCTTTACTCCTCCTCTCTTTTCTTTACAAAACTGTTTGAATTCCTTCCTGGTATATATCCTCTACAATTCTTTTCTGAAAGGTATAAAGCCATATTTTCCCTTTGGATGATCATGCAGTATAAGAGGCCATTTTTAATGAGTAATCTTTCGGTGAAGCCCATTGGAGAATATTCCCTTCATGAATATATAATATACTTCAAAGCCACCATAGCTATATTAGACATGTGCTTGTCAAAAGGCCATCGACAGAACTATTCCTAATACAATAAACAATCAGAAACTTAAAATAAGATGCCCATGTGCCTCGCATATGACCCAAAAACAAAGATAAATTATTTCTGATACACTGACTTCTGTTACACAGCTATTGGTAATCCATCATTATTTTATAGCATCTGATGACAGAACTACCTCAATTATTACCTTTAAAATACAAATCCTACCTTATATGTATCTAATTTCCTAATACTTGTCGCTTTGTTCGTAATGGATATCAATTTCAGAGTATTGCACAATGATCACAACACATCATTTCTTTGCACTAAGCACGGCATATGTAACAATAACATACTTTGTCATTTTTTTTGTCGATACATGTCATACAATCAGTCTTTAAGTATCAAGACCGTTTAATTTACTTTTAGAAATATACAACAGCTGCTTGTCAGCGATATTTACACATTATCAATAATAGAAATAACACAATCCAACTTTGAGTAAACATGTAACATAAGCAAAATTAGGCTTAAAGGGCTGGTCATACCTTCACAATAATGATAATTTCAAGAGCTCAAATTTGGCAAAACATGGAATTTAGAGCTTTATGGAGTTCAGGATTGTCATTTGAAACCTCATCCGACCGAGGTCGCTGTAGTGTTAATTACCCCTCGTTACATAAAATTAGCATATAGTTTGTTGATATCATTCTGGTATGACCAGCCCTCACTTGGTGGATGGAGTCAAACTCAATACATTCTCAATGCGAACAGTCAGCCAGTGAAATAAATAAATCTGCCTCATTTACAAGATAAAGCTTTGAATATATACAACTTATAGTATCTTACAATCATAAATATATCAAATGCACCATCAGTTTCATAACAAAACAAAAACGTAGCAAAATCTTTGCTTCCAATTAGCTGCATCTAATGATTCACATCTCGTAGGGCTCGTTCACATATTACGCATTAAGCCGTGGTGGTTTTTAATGATAAAAGCGTGATGCACATTTCTGTATCTTATAATAATAATAATAATAATAATACACAATGTAAAAGGTCCATTTATATAGCGCAGCCAATATATGAAGTATCATATTATAGGATTTCCCGGCCAAATTCGCGAGTTTGTCATTCAAATTCATTTACTTTGCATTTAAGTTAGCGCAGATCAGCTTTGCCATGCCACTTATCATTCAATTTTCCCGATTTTGTATTTAATTTAGGATTTTGGTCGAAGGATTTCATAGATCTGTCATTCAATTTAGAAACTGCTCAACTAGCATTCAAATTAATCGTCACTTGTCGAGGCGTCATTTTTATCATTCAAATTAATACCTGGCATTCGTATTCGAATTGTGTTTATTCAAGTTAGGAATGTTAGGGGGGAAGAAATACAACACACGTTAAAAGTTTTTAAAAAATGCAATTAAATACATGATTTGTCATTGGGGTCTTTTCTGTTATTTAATTTATTAATTTTGAGGACAAAGCATAGTGTAGTGAGACATGTGGTAAAGAAGGGGCGAAATCAAGGGATATGGCATTTCTGAACGGACATGTTCATATACCCGGAAAAGTGGGGATACAAAAACACCTACCCCAGTCACAATATTGTACCCTTCCTCCATAATGAAATTGTGATAAATTTATGATGAAACACAAGACAAACAACTTCCTCACATGAAAATTTACACAAATATTGGGACCATCAAGTCCGTAGATGTAAGTCTTTTTTTTTAACAATCGAACTTAAAGGCTGATGAATATCTGATAAATCTAAAAGTATATAAAGAGTATAAATGCAAGAAAATAAAATAAGATGAAATACTCATGAAAAAACGATCTTGAAAGAAAAAAATGAGCTATAAAAAGTGTGTAATAAACGAGAAATGTATATTGACCATTAATTCTAGTGCACAAAGTGCTAATTTGAATGCTACAAATGAATTAGAATGCTAGAAGTACACCGTCGCGATGTCAGAAAACCGTGTTGCGCTAAATCGAATGACCAAATAGCGAAAGAAGCACTTTGTTCATTAATTTGAATGAAACATACATAGATTCTAACGAAAACTCCATAGATTTGAAATCTAGAAAAAGGAATATAAACCCGAGATATACCCGACAGCACTAAAAGTGTCGAATTTGAACGCAAGACAAATTCGCGAATTTGGCCGGAAAATCCTATATTAACCCGGCTGTAGCTGAGCTGCAATAATAAGGCGCTAAAGCATTAATTTCTTCCTGCCGGGTACCCTTTTAATTCACCTGGGTGGAGAGTGGCAAATGTAGATTAATGTCTTGCCAAAGGACATTAGTGCCGCGGCGGGACTCAAACCACGAACCATGTGATGCACAGTATGGTGACGTATCCGCTAGACCACGACACCTCTACATATAATACAGAGATAAGCAAGTACACATTGGACTTTTGTTTTGCACAGCTAAACTCATATCATCCCCATTTGTCAAAAATGCACTGAGGCAAACCACCATGGTTTTATGCGTCAAGTTTGAACGAGCCTTCATCATCTGAATTACTACATATATAAAAAAATACATAAACTTAGTTTTAAATCTGAGATTTCATAAAGTTGCACAAGTGCTACAACTTGAGGTGGGATACAAATGAGTCTATAAAACATTTAATATTTGAAGAAGATATGTTACTATCTTTGAAAACAGATATAAAAACAAAGGGAGGGGTGGGACCAAAAAAAAAAAAAATAGGCAAAGTAAAGGCCTTCATCAGAAGCCTAAGTTGTATCAATGGGTGTATGATACATAAAAAGTATAATACTGAGTGATTTAAGTTGCGTCTACCCTGGACCCTTTTTTCCATCTCATACTTGCAGCAAAATTAATACCTGGGACTACACGCTATTTCTGCATTACTAGTCTACCGATATGAGTAGCGCTAAGGGAATGATAGATGCCGTTTTTTCGCGGTCCACTCTCATTCCTGCCAACATTTAAAAATAAGAAATCTGTACCTGTAACAGGCGATCGCACGGCCTTACCATGACCATGTATGCAGCGGCAGTGTAACTGGCAATACACAGTAAAGCTGTACGAAAAACCAAATCCAAAATTTGCTGCTCGATCATGGTGCCATTCAACGCATGCAATACGCAAACTAAAAAATTGTGGCACATGGTAAAACAAGCAAAATTTGGCTTTAAAAAAAAAATGAAAAATTGGTCATTCAGAATTTTGAAAAATCTGATTAAATCGGCAGTTGGCAGGTATGCGCTCTATCCGGCTGTTCTAGATGAAGGGGTCTATCGTGGGGTTGGCTTTGTAGACCTTTTTATTCAAGCAGCTAAATAAATATCTCGGACTACATGCACTCTTTCTGCATTACTTCTCTACTGATACAAGGTGTGCACAGAGAACCATTTCTTTTGTGATACACTCTATCTGGCCGTTCAAAACTAGTCTATCATATGACTGGCATTTATCATTCAAGCAGCATACCTGGGACTACATACACTCTTCAAGCACATCTACTCTAGCACAATATGGGGAACGCACAGAGAATGATGGATGCCGTTTCTTTCGTGGTCCACTCTATTCCACTATTCTTGATGTCGAGGGGTCAGTGACACAAAGACGTAACTCCATTTTGAGAATAAGTGGTTTATGTGTCACTGAGCACTTGGGCCTTCAGGAGTTAAGTCTATGTTTCACTAGCCATTGACTTCAATGGAGTGTTGGGTGGAGTTAAGTCTTTATGTTTCCTGGAAAGCCCACATTTTTCTGAACATTTTGATAACAAACACTCATTTTGGCAAAATATGGAGTTACGTCTTTGTGTCACTGAACCCTTGATGTATGCTCTTTAGCATGGTTAGCCCTGATGCTCTGTGTACCTTTTTCTACCAGCAGCAAAATAAATACCTGGGACTACATACACTATGGGACTACATACACTATTCTACCGATATGAGCAGCACACAGAGGACGATAGATGCCGTTTCTTTGGTGGTCCACTCTATCCCACTATTCTCGATGAAGGGGTCTATCGCTGGGTTGGCCATGTTGCTTTGCAGACCTTAATATTCTAGCAGCTAAATGAATACCTGGGACTACATGCACTATTCTACCGATATAAGGAGAGCACAGAGGACGATAGACGCCGTTTCTTTGGTGGTCCACTCTATGCGGCTGTTCTCGATGTAGGGGTCTATCGTATGGTTAGCCCCGATGCTCTGCGGACCCGCCGTGTAGCATCCTGGCCTGATACGGACCTGGAACGCAACTCGTGCAAAGTGCTCCTTCTGTGTCAGAGAGTCGATGAACCTAACAAGAGAAGAAAGCAGAACATTCATAATTGCTTTATTTTTAGTTTTAAATTTTTGTGAATTGCTAAGAACAGGCATTCGCACAGCATGAAATGAGCACAAATTACATAAGGCGAGTGTTGCGATTCAGTGACTTTGTGGTATGAAACATTTGCAAAAATGAAATATTTGCCAAATTAATGAAACTTTGATGCACGTTTAAGTTTCTGGTCTTGCGGTAGTGTGTGGTCGGCTTTTAAGCACTACTAAAACAAGTTATAAACACAGAGAATATGCCACTTACTTGCATCTATGTGAGAAGATATCACAGCCAGCGTACTTCAGGGTCGGAGATACAAAGATCTGCATGAGGTCCGGCACCAGGGATGGTTTGTTGAGTGACGACCCCAGCGTCTCCGGCTGATACAGACGTCCAAGACTTGTATCACCTGGACAATGTAATAGGAACAAGGTTGAGGTTAGGGTTCCGAGTGTCTTGTAGATTGGGTTAAGGGTTTGGGGTAGTTATAGAGTTGGGAGTAAGGTGTCTCCCAAGTCCCTGGTTGAATTTAGGAATTGGGTTAGTGTATGAAATTGACCGCGGAGTACTTGTCACTGGAGCAAATGCTGTACGCCTACAACATTAGTAAAGATATATAGTGGTTCAGCCATGTGACATCCAATCCAATCTCTGCCTGTGGCAATGTCCTTGGATCTACAGTATTCTTTTTTCTCCAAGGTACATGCACCTGGCCTACCTAAAGTAAACTAGGCTTCTGGTGTGATATATTCTTTGGTGAAATGATGGTACGCACAGAACAGCAACATCATCATCATCAGAGCACTCACAAGAATTATAATAAAAATCAAAATATTAGATATTTATTATTTATTGCAACATAAGGGTGTGTTCTTACCTGGAGGCAGTAATGTTCCTCTATCAAGTATCTTTCGAACGCTTCCCACTGACGTCCCATGGTACGCTACATGCCAGCTCTCAAACACGTTCAGCTCCTCTGCAAGATTGTGTAATCTGAAATGGATTTGAAAAAAAGTGAGAAATATAATTCCACATGGATCTACATTTGCCACACTCAACCAAGGCGATGTAAATGGGTACCTGGCAGGAATTAATTCCTTGAAATACTAGAGCGCCGTAATGGCTGCCTTGCTAAAGCCATGTTTATAAGCGGGGCAGCGCCAGGAGCATCACAAACAGCCATTGGTATTATTATATGAGATGAGCATGATTGCATAAAAATGGTAACACTAAAGATTAAGAAGGTTAAATTGGGAAAAGATGCTGCCTCTAAATTAAACCAAAAAAAATGAAAACATGTCAACAGTCTTAACTCCCCACTGCATTACTTATAGCTACTTGCGCCCTCTATATAGCAAACAATGCCTAGTTGGTGCCTGTTGGTCCCCCATGATCCCTTTTTCTAATGTTAATTGAGAGCTGATTTGATGAGATAACCACCTATTAGTGATCATGCAGGGAGGTCTAATCCGTCCTGGCCTTAAAAAAAATCCTTTTTATATGTGTGAGTCTTTTTACGTTACCTAAGAGCAAACTTGCACCATCGTAGGGGTCTGGTGTACCCCCTGGGAGGGTCACCTTTGGTGGTATACGCCTCTTCACCATGGACTTTGTGACACGCCTCACAGTAGCACTTACTGGAACGGGTGTTGGCTTCAAAGTAGGCGGCTGTTAAAGAAGAAAAATGACTACTTATAAACACATACTGAATAATAATCGATTGATTGATTGATTGATTGGTATTTATTCCATTTCATATTTCAATTGTTTGCACAATAAAGAACAAAGTTGAAAAAGTAAGTTCAAAATTTTGAAATGAAACAGGAGCCTACTGGAAAGCATAGCTTGTTTTTGTAGGTTCCCAAGAATAAATATAATATGAACATTATTGATAAACATAGTGAAAGAAGTTTATAAAACCATTCATGGGAGGCAAGAAACGTGGTCTTTACAGGCAGGTGGTCATTATTTAGAGGTTTTTTTTATACACATTTCAAGTAGAACTCAGTAAACATATGGTTGCTATTGTATTAAATTAATAAAAGCTGGTGTTACTGCTGCCACAACTAATACCATTATTTGATACCAAGACATGGTGTGTTATTGTGGTTTAATTTTGCAAGGGCTATGTAATACCATAAGCATGAGAATCATAACAAAGGCTTAACAAAAAACAAATAGCACTTTGGATAAAGCAGAATACTTACCTGGCAAGCCTAGTGATGCTTTGAACCTATTGCACAGTTTCTGGTAGTCACATTCCCTAGCTGTAATTGCCATTGGATGGTAGGAGAGTAGTGGAGAATTCTCTTTCAGACCTATTAACAAAAACAGTAGAAATACATGCATGAGATAAAGACACAAAAGAAGGAGAGAGAGAGAGAGAGAGAGAGAGAAAGAAAGAGATACATGAGAAAGAATATTTTATAAACAGAGGACTAACCACCGAGGTCAGCAATTTGTACTTGGGTATGTGGGGACCCCAAAGTATATACTCTGTGTCTGCCACTGCAAGTTTTTGAAGTACAGTAGTTCCCTCTATCATGTGTGACCAAGACTTAAAATAGGGTATGTAGACCTCATCTAAGAGAAATAGGCCCTGAACTGTAGTGTGTGTCTTGCCATTTCATGAAGAAAAAAAATTAGACTGAGAAATTTGGGGCAAGCTGAGTCTTAAAGCCCCTCTGCACTAGTTTGGCCAGGATGGATTAGACCTCCCTGCATGGTCACTGACAAGTGATTATCTCATCAAGTTAGCTCTCAATAAACATAAGAAAAAGGGGGACCAATGGTCACCGATTAGGCAATGTTTGCTTTACATAGAGTGCAAGTAGCTATAAGTAGTGCACTGGGGCTTAATGCCCATTTTGTTTGGGTCAAAATAGATCCTGTACCTGCAGGATAATCTCACTTTTCGTGCCAGTAACCTATGAACATTCGAAACAGTTCTAAAGAATAGAGGATAATTACCATTCTCTAGCACCGCCTTCTCTCGTTCATCTTGCATACCTCCTGCTGCAGCTAATGCTTCAGTTACCACGGTAACCTAATCAATAACAAACATAAAGGAACAAATGCTTAAAGGTAATACAAAGTTTTGGTATGGGGTCAAGAATTTGGTTCAAATGAACATATTGAAAGCATATGGTCAGTGATCGTTGTCACGGTTGAAATCGAGTCTAAAGTTATGAGATTGTGAATAATAAACTCTTTATGTTGTATAGCTCCCTCTCAAGATCAAGATATTAATTAAGCTATCAAGCAATGTTTCTTGACAAAAATCAACCAATTAGCTATTCCCGTTTGGAAATTATATATCACAACTACATATTCTGAAATTTTCATGGTAGCAGCTAACATTGTACGGCCATAGGCGCTATTTGAAATTTATTTGAAATTTACCGGGAGCACCGGTAAATTTTTATAGGGGCTAAATTTTCTAGTGCTTATAATACATCCACAGGGGCATCCAAATATATCATAATTGTAAAGAATCACTATCCACCCAATTTCCAAAATTCCCCAAAACTTTGTATTACCTTTAATAAAATGTTGATATTTCTATTTCAGCAAATGAAATCAAAATTGCCCTATAGCCAGTATAAGGGAACATGTGCAGAGAGGACAAGCTGAACAAAAGTATCAGAATAGTTTTTTAATGCAATCTTACTTTAGAAATTATGTACACAAAGAGAACATTAGACTTACATGTATATTCATTTTACAAACAAATTGAGAAAAATAGGATAGAATGTATATTGTACAAAACTAATCGGGAGATTTCTCCATCTGTTGTCCATATTTTAGAAATGCTCAATTACTCACTCAATAATTGAACAAAAGTGAATTAAACTTCTATCATACAAATGTAGAAAATGTAAAATATTCGAAACTATCTGAAATGCAGAGTAGATTTATCACGATCACGAGACTGACTTACCAATTTGAGATCATGAGGAAAATCATTGATTTTTACAAATTTGTTAGATTGTCAAACCTTTTAAAAAATTTTAAAAATTTTACTTATTTGTTTCTCCATTATTTTGTTTCTATCCCTTACCTGTTCACATTGTCCATAGAGATCAACCAGAGCATAACAAGGTGTTGCTACATCCTCAGCCGCTATCCCATAATCCCTCCCGTCTACATGGAGATGAAGACTGCCCTCGTTGTGTACGACCAGGCCAACGATGCTCCCTTCTTTTAACTTGTCCAAGTTGGGGCCATAGTTACCTTTAACCTTTAGAAGAAGAGTTTGAAAACATGGTATTTTGTCAATTTTGTCAATTTTGTCAATTTTGTTGCTAATTTCTCTCAAACAAATTTTCTTAGTTTTCATCATCATCATCACCATCAGTTCACCATCACGACCACCGCAAAACCAAGACCACCATCACTATCATCATCAACACCATCCTTTATCAAAGTCAGGTATACAAGGTATAAGTACCATAATATATAAATAGTTGTTATTCATCAAATAATTTGAAAGATAGCATCAATACTTGTTACAAAAACAACCTATCCACTGAACCTAGTACCTTTCTCTGTCCGTTATAGCTGCCTCTTCTTAATTGATACATTTTTAATCTCCTATTTTCTCACTCCCAAAATTTCAAACCATTTAAAATATTTGTGCAACTTGGTTTACCTATATCTCGTTCAATAGTTCCCCCTCTCTTGCTCTCTCTCAATCCCATTCTCTCTCTCTGTCTCTCTCCCTCCCTCCCTCCCTCTCCCACCCTCCCACTTTACTGCCACCATCAAACCAAGTTACCATCCCTTACCTTCTTGGTATTATGGAAGACCGACTCTCCCTGTACGACCCAGGAACATTTCTTAATAGCTGATGCGGTGGCCGGGAACGTGAGTTTATCAGGAGACGTTCCTGTCACTCCGATCTTCAGGGAATCTGTCCAGTGCTCGTTAAGTTTATCGATCTGGACCTGTTTGTTGCCAAATTTTGTGAATATGAGACATTCATTATCTAGATAACTATTTACAAAGCATTACAATATGTATGTCCCATACAAATTCACAGTAATTTTTCAGGAGTTTCTCTCCATTTCTGAATAATTCAATTTTCATGTATGTCCACCTCAATGTACTTCACTAATATGCATTATCATGTTGCAAAATACTTGATAAAATGGAAATCATATTTTCTTTTTCAAACAGTCAGATCATTAAATTGAATCCTATAAAATATATCATTCTATTCAATTCAATGCAAACTTCAATCAAGTCAAATAGATTAAACAACCCATTTAAGAAGAAATTGATTTGCTCACCTCAAAGGTCTGTTTTCTTGGCAAGGGTTTGGCACTAAGTACGATACCCTGGTGATAGCTACCCATCCGCCTGGCTGTTAGATTGTTATTGCACAGGGATGCATTCTTGCCGTGGTTGTCATGGAAATAGAGGGATGATGACTTCTCCGATGTTGTAGATGCATCCTAGAGTTAAGAAATTATGAACTCAATAAATCTGGACCTTGTTTCGGAAAGCTTGTTATCAATAACAAGTTACAATACCTTTTATAAGCTTTTGAAATCAATGCATTTGATTGGATGTCAACAAATTTGTTATAAGAAACATGCCAGTTGTTGTTCATGTTACATTAACCCAAGCCAAAGCTGTAAAATGTTGTACACGAATTAACATCTACAATAAGAGTCTTTGTGAGGCTGGATTTATAGAACTCAACTCAACTAAGAACAAATTGTTCTATTTATTAGATGTATGTGAAGCCGCATTACAATCTTTGGTAGAAATAATCATGGGCATATAACATAGGTCATTTATTGAACATAGATATAAATGATATCATATCACAAAAGCTCTAACACGCGCCTTGGACACCTCGACGCCCTAAATCTAAGTCTGGACCTCCAGAGTTTCAAAATTTTCACATAGGTTATGTGCATACTGACTCTACCAAGTTCATTCTGGACCCCCTTCAAACAAACCTAGTGTGGAGCCCTGCATCTAAGCATAATATCATGGAGAGGAATAAAATGAATGGTTTTAAGAACTTTTTTTGATTCAGAACTTCCAAGTAGCATAAAATGACAGCCATGAATCTCCCTGGAAATCACTCTAATAAATGTTAGAACACACTATTACAATAGACAGATAGATGATAGGTAAATGGATTTTATTAAGATTTTTGTGTCTGGCAGTTAAAAACCGAATCGAACATGAATTACAATACAAACTTCCAAAGAACATTAGCATAATAATATGAGATACCAATAGGTCACTGCCGCAATGCACTCTTTGCTAGTCATCTGTATTAAAAAAAATTACCTCTTTTTCTGAGTCTTGTTCGGTGTCGCTTATTGATGAAATAGAGGGTGCCCTAAGGGGTTCGTTGGGGAGACTGACGGAGGAACTGATGAGATGTATGCTCTCTACTCGGCCGTAAAGCTCCACAATGGCATACACACCCTGTAAGCATGAAAAGTAATACCATATACAAAGTAGAGGCTGTTTTCTGTACATGCATGTATGTAGTGTACATGTAGATGCAATTGCAGTGGAAAATACATTCAGAAATGACATTACTTAGAACCAGAAAGCCATGAAGTCTGCAAAAAACATTAGGAGTTAATGTATTTTTGGCTCTCAAAAGACTTATGTATGAATTTTGATTGCATCATATTTCTGTTAATTTGTCAATTTTAAAACAAAGAGTGGAAATCTAAGAAAAAAGTATCAAACCCTAGTTTGAGAAGATGTTCACACAACAATATAATTATGAAGTTTTGGAAACATTTAACAACAAAATCTTGCTTCAAATTACAAACAATGAAAAGCACTGGACATTGGACTAAACCAACTATCAGACTGGGTTCCAATTTTCTTGTCATATTTGGAATATGAATGCATTAAGAGAGTAACACGTTTCACAGGGCTGAACTACTATCAGATTCTTATACTATATGACAGTAAAAAGAATGAGAAAGCTCGTAATTATTTTCAATTTCATCAGAACTCTGCCTTCTTTTTGATTTACTCCATATTAGTTACCTGTGGAATGTCAACAGCAGCCTGTCCCAGATCTTCTCCATTCACTACCATGTGCATGCAGCGGTCTGCTGTTAACCGCACACCAACCTTATGACCAATCTGCAGGAATGAGAGAACAAAAGATGAAGAGGGATGAGGGATGGAAAGGTGGTCTCAGAGAATGCCTTTAAAGCCTAATCGGTGACCATTGGTCCCCCATGATCCTCTTTTTCTTATGTTAATTGAGAGCTGAGTTGATGGGATGACCACCTGTCCAGTGACCTTGCAGGGTGGCCTAATCCCTCCTATAAACTAGTACAGATAAGCTTCATTAGTGTCTGTTACACTTACAACAACCGCAGCCTTGAAATAATTGGAAAAGGCCTTTAACTTCAATACAAGAATGCAACATTAAATAAGCCATCCAATATACCATCAAATACACATGTAGCATCAAATATACTATCAAAAATACCATCACAATGCTATCAAATATACCATAAAAAATGCTATCAAATATGCCATTAAATATACCATCAAATCATATGCCATATGAAGTTTTGTTTATAGTGGGGTCTTTCTCACCTCTAATCTTTCTAACGTTGGGCCATAATTTGACCTGATGTTGACCCCATTCTTCCTGACATCTGACCCCTGCATGACCCACGTGCCCCTGGCCTTCAGCTCCGAGGTCGTGGCAGCCAGGGGTTCGGCAAGTATCGGATCATCGGGATGATACGTGGTGAGTCCAATACAGAGAGAGCCTGACCAATGCCTTGCAAGTCTGTCAACTTGCACCTGGAATCCAATAACAGATGTTGATTAAACAATCAATTTCAACTTGAGCCTTGTTTACAAATACATGGTAAAGTGCCTAGAAAAATAACCACCGAAGCAAATTGTATTGATGCAAAGCACAATGCATTTCACATGTCAGTATGTTATAACACAAAGGAGCTTTTGGTGTGGAAAGCTACTTTTTTTCCATCCTAATTTGACATTCACTATCTTGGCACATTTAACCTTCAAAGATCCTCTGACTGCGCTATTCATTTATCTCAAAAGAAAATATCCTCTAGCTTTTATTCTTAAAGCCCCACTGCACTACTTGTAGCTACTTGCTCTCTCTATATAGATAACAATGCCTAAGCGGTGCCTGTTGGTCTCCTATGATCCTCTTTTTCTTATGTTAATTGAGAGCCGAGTTGATGAGATAACCACCTGTCAGTGACCTTGCTGGGTGGTCTACTCCCTCCTGTCCAAACTAGTACAGACAGGCTTTAAGTGCTTTATCAGATCAGGAGGGTAAAGGAGATTTTGGTTGTTTGGTGCACATCACCGAGGTCGGAGAGCATAGAAAAATTGACTTACCTCAAAGAAGTCTCCTTCTACGAGTGGCTTGGAGCTGAAGACGATACCATTGTTGAAGGCATCTGTTCTGGAGGCCTTTGAGGAGTCCTCAGAGAGGGAGATGTTGCAGCCAATGCACTGATGGAACCTGTGAGGCAGACCTGGTACTGTAACAATGGAATGGATGGCAAGAAACGTAAATCAGTTATTGGTAGGTGGTTTTAACTGCCCAGAATTTGTAGTTTTTAGTGTATTACTTAGTTTAAAACTGCACTACTTGTAGCTACTTGCTCCCTCTATGAAAACAACAATGCCTATGTGGTGCCCGTTGGTCCCCCATGATCCTCTTTTTCTTCTGTTAATTGAGAGCTGAGTTGATGAGATAACCACCTGCCAGTGACCTTGCAAGGAAGGTCTAATCCCTCCTGGCCAAACTAGTACAGATGGGCTTTAATACTCCACTGGTAAACATAATTGAAACAGCTTAGAATTCAAAATATCTTGATATTGTTTCAACTATAATCAAAGGACCAAGTAGTCAACACTTTCAACTTCCTGGGCTTTCTGATTGTGGATGGTAGTGGAAGCTCACAAGAAATAAGACGACATCTCGCCATGGCTAGATCATCTGCCATTAGCCTTACTGACATCTGGGAAGACAGAGGGATCTCAAGGAACACCAAGATTCATATGTTGAATGCTTCAGTCTTTCCAATGGCTACATATGGGTCAGAGATGTGAGCTCTTGGAGCAGCAGATAGAAAGAAAATCCAGGTTTTCAAAATGTAGTGTTGGAGGAGGATGCTGAGGATATCCTTGCAGGCTCATAAATCAAATAATTTTGTCAAGGACCCATTATTGGAACAAAGGTCATGTTGGGAGGACCTCTCCAATTTTCTCAGTACAGAAGTTTCATAAGCTTTCTGTTTCTTAGTTATTGATAATGGAAAAGATTTGTTTCATACAGGGATTGTACAGAAACATATTTGCAATAATTAAATTTAGAGTGCATGCATGAATGAACATTTTCTTTAGGGAAAATAGAAATTTCTGATTTTTTTGTTTATAGTACAGAGCATATGGGAGGAGAACTTGCAAGATACATCACAGAGTTGCCAACTTATGTTTGATAGATTGCAATTTAAAAAATTTGTCAGTGGATTTTGTTCTAACTTTAACTGACCTGTTCCTCTCATTTTTCTGCTTCTATTAAAACCAACTTAATATCAGGGTTGACTTCACGTTCAAGTGGTTAACCATGTCATATATGAATGGGGCCTTACCTGTTAGAATGGTTTCGATTGGTACTGTTGGAGGAGGCAAGATGAGCTGGTTTTCTGAGAGTCCCATCGTCGAATCGTAGACAGATATCTGTGCACATTGTCCATAGAGATCTATCACCACGTAGACATCTGTAAAGGAAACATAAAAGAGATTGTTGAAAAGAATTTCTGTTAGACTTGCACCCTGTAAATAAAGATTGATTGCTTCATCTTGGAATTGAAAACAAGTCAGAAAAAAATCTTGGAACCAGCAGGATTTGACCCTGTCATCTACTGCTTGTCGGGCAGAGACTCTCTATCACCAGGCCATCACTAGTTCATGGCACAGTCACAGTGATCCTCAAAAAAATACCTCAGCTCTCCTGATTCATTTTGGCTTATTAATATTCATTAGTCTGCCATCAGAACAATAGTTGTTACGAATTATATAAGAGATCATTATAGGGTACAGATAACCTTAAAAATTGTTTGTTTTCAGCTAGAATGAATAACATCAACATCGATACACTTAACCTGGTATTCTATGGGTTAATAGTTATATGAAGAAAGTGAAGGATAACATGAGACCCTGCACACAGAACCCAAGTCAAACTTGGGTTCCACCTGACCCTGTTCTATGCAAGCTTGTATGGTTGCGTCAATTATTATACTTGATAGTCCCTTTATTGAGAGTGACATTAAACTTGCAATATTCTCTTTTTAGAAGTGTTATGTGAGGCTCATATCTTTAATATACCGGTAGTATAGTGACATGAAACTCCAACACACAGTGCAAAAGATATTTTGGTGATTGGTAATTTTAACTGAATCTGTGCATCTGCACAGATGTAGTTCAAAATAATTATGTGTATGTGTTGTAACATCTAAAGGCATAGTGAAAGACATTTCTAATAGGGCATTATTGGGCATATTTTAAGGAGTCGGAAGTAAGATAGCATTCAAATTGTGGTAGGAACAAAGGACAGATTCAACTTTTCAAACAATGTACCTTCAGGAATGTTGGTGAAAGCTACGCCCTTGTCCACTCCATCCAGATAGAAGTGAAGGGCTCCCTCTTCTGTCCTGAGAAGGCCAATGCGTTGACCTTCAAGGAGTGTGTCAAGGTCGAGTGAGTAGGTGTGGTTGACCGTGAAGCCCTCTTGCATAAGGGAAGCACCGCTGAGAAGCCGAAAGCACACATGGTTACATACATGAATTCAATTTCAATTCAATTCAATTTCAATTCAATTCAATTAAATTCAATGTATTTGATAGTTCAATGTACTTTCAACATGGAAATTTATTTTGCATACCTGTACATGTAAAACAAAGGCTCAGACATAGTTTACTAAGGACGGAGATAGGATAAATTTCAGAGTTGGAATAGACAAAAAAAGTATTTCTTGTGCTGTTTTGTATTTTATTTTTCCTTTCGACTAGGGATGTTCTTTTTGCAATTAAAAGTGCAGAATACCCCAGTTCATAAGTCAACCTAACCATAACCCTAATGATCCTAAGAGCCTAACCTTAACCCTGACTGTGACCCTGTCCCTGACCCCTGACCCTGATGTAGTGCAATGAAGCATGGTAGGGCACTCTGCACTTAAGCCACATTTTCATTGACATTTCACATCTGTGAAAGTAGAGGTGTCGAGTGGATATGTCACCGGATTGTGGATCACAAGGTTCGTGGTTCGAGTTCCGCCGCTCCACTAATGTCCTTTGGCAACTACATTTGCCACACTCGACCCAGGTGAGGTAAATGGGTACCTGGTAGGATTATTCCTTGAAATGCACTGTGCGCTGATAACTGGTGCCGGTGCTAACGCTAGGGTAATAATTATGTAATTTGTGTAAAGCGCACTGATATGTCTTAGGACAGGAATTACGCTATATAAGTGGTACATATTATTATTATTGTTTGTTATAATCACCTGAGCATCCATGTATCTGAGGCGAGGTCTGTCATTGTACTTGGAAACTCCATATCCTCTGGCTTCTTAGTGGTCACACCTGGGAACAATGTTTCAAGTACAAGTTAACAAGTTACTGAGCTCAATAGAACCTGACCATCTATCCATCTGCTATCCACACAGATGTCATACAGCTCTCCATTGGTGAGCGGAAAACAATAAACTTGGTTATACTCCTGGGTACAAAGTGGCAAAGTAAATTAAAATGCCTTCTTACCTATCTCGATCGACCCTGACCACCTATCCACCATCTTCTCCACACAGATGTCATACAGCTCTCTCCATTGGTGAGCGGAAAACAATAAACTTGGTTATACTCCTGGGTACAAAGTGGCAAAGTAAATTAAAATGCCTTCTTACCTATCTCGATCGACCCTGACCACCTATCCACCATCTTCTCCACACAGATGTCATACAGCTCTCTCCATTGGTGAGCGGAAAACAATAAACTTGGTTATACTCCTGGGTACAAAGTGGCAAAGTAAATTAAAATGCCTTCTTACCTATCTCGATAGACCCTGACCACCTATCCACCATCTTCTCCACACAGATGTCATACAGCTCTCCGTTTGTGAGCGGATAACAGCTCATCACCACGGCTTCGTTGAATTCTCCTGCAGGATTGGCCCGGAACGCTCTTTTCCCGTTGTTACTGATCGTGGCATTCCTGCCGTGCTTGGCATGGAACCTCTGCTGCGGATGGGCGGGGCTCTCTACAGTGAACGTACTGGATGGGGTGATGCCATCTCTCACGGACTCCAATTGTTCCCTCTCTGTTGGTGGAAGAAATTGTAAGAGATATAGTGCAGCTATTCATTTTTGTTACTGATGTGAGCACATTGCATGTACCATTGATGTCTAATGAAATAATGTTTGCAGTCAATCAGATGCAATGATTCCAGTAGCTTATATCAAAATCAAAATTCTACATCAAGTGTCTCTCCAAGTACCACTGCTCAAGAACAAGGTACTTGGAGAGACACTTCATGTAGAATTTTGATTGGGTCACTAAACCTGTCATAAACTGGCAGATCTTAAGTATGTAATTCCTGTTGCAATTCCTGTTGCAACTATTGACTCCTTCAAGTTGTCATACTACCCAAGAGCAATAAGGATCTGAAACCATCTGCCAGGCTCAGCATTCAATGCAACAGGAATAACCAACTTCAAGGAGGCTGCTCTACCCTCCATCAGAATGATGCAGCCCCCTGTTGGTTCCCACATCATTTAAGCTTATTAGCTTGGTTTTTTACTTGCACTGGACTTAGCATATTTTACTGTAAATTAATGAGTGCTTTGTCCACGCACCATTCCTGTAATTCATGACACTCCTTGTAGTTACTCGCCTCACCTACCATTTCAGGATAGCTTCCTGAGTGAGCTGCCAAAGGGATTACCCAACCAAACACCAAGTATCACCATTGATGATAAGAATTACTGTATACTTAATGGTCCTGATGCTGTTCTCTTTTGATATCATCAAGCAACTAAAACAGCCGGAATGACCAACCTGTAGGGTCGACGATGGAGACCTTTGCTGCTTGGCCGTAGAGGTCAACGACCCCATAGAGAGTGGAGGTCACATGTGAGGCTGCGACCCCTTTGTCCACTCCATTGAAGAAGAAATGAAGGTCACCGTTGGGTCTTCTTACTACACCAACTCTGTCTCCATTCTGTGTTAAAAATATAAACAGTATGATTTGAAGGTCAAGATGAGTTCATGCCCTCATCTTACGAAGAGTTGTGATGATGAAGATGATCCACATCACTTGTATGGCGCCATTTACCCCTTTCAAACATGCAAAGGCGCCCAAGTTGTGATTTATCTGAATTGCTTGCAAGTTTTCCAGTCAATCGCAAATTTTCCTGTACAGTTTGACTTCAAAATGAGGCAATATTTGGTTGCATCTCATCTTCACTTGTTCCGAGAGATAAACATTCTACTATGTCTGAAAATAGTTGTAAGAGTGAAAGAAACATACAAATGTTGCAAATTTAAAGATGCAAAGCTGCTTCATTCAGACCATCAGAAAGTTTGTTTCTTGATGGGATAACAAACTAAAGTACATCGAGCATCAGGCTCCTAGCCAGAATTTCAACATTGGGTGTCCAAACTGAAAGTTAGGTGGCCCTAGTATCAATTAGAGTATGTGGAGAAAAACTTGGGGTGTCTTTCACAAGAAATGGGGGGTCTTTTGGACACCCAGATGACCTCAATTGCTACGATCCTGTTGTACATACCTTAAGATGGTCCATATCAGTGGCGTACTCATCGATGATGTTGGTACCATTGTGCATCACACAGTTACCGGCCAGCATCCAAGTACCACTCCTGACGTTTGTCATCGTTGATGGAAAGTCTGAAATTACAAAAAAAATATAAGAATCTTGATTTCACAGAGAACACTACAGGAACCAAGTATCAGCTCGGTTGGTAGAGCAGGGGTCTCGTAATCGGGCGATCCAGGTTCAAAACCAAGTCAATGCACTAATGTCCTTTGGTAAGGCATTCATCCTCATTATTAGGTCCCTCGGAGAGGACCTAAAGCTGTCGGTCCTCTGGTTGCTTACTAACAATCTTAGCAGCCAGGTAATATAACCACCACCACCACCACCATTATATAGTGCAGTCTTCATACCAAAAAAGGATTGAAATAAAGGAATTTTGACTGGAACTACGATGTGAGGGATTATAGACCCGTAATGATTTGAGAGTTGAAGTATATATATCACGTACATGAAAACAGATCATGATATCCATTGGACTCCATATTAGGAGCACAGAAAAGACAAATGGACAGGAGATGATGGAAAAGGGAGAAAGGGGAGAAGAAAGAAGAGGGAAGGGGAAAGAGGGGCAGACAGAGTGAGAGAGAGAGAGAGAGAGAGAGAGAGAGAGAGAGAGAGAGAGAAGAGAGAGTTACAGACAGAGAGACACAGAGAGAGAAAGAGGGAAAGAGAGAGGGAGAGAGGGAGGGAGAGATAGAGAAAGACAGAGAGACAGAGAGAGAGAGATTAAAAGAGAATTAGCGAGAGAGTAAAAGAGAGTTAGCGAGTGAGAGAGAGTTACAGACAGAGAGAGAGAAAGAGGGAATGAGAGACTGAGAGAGAGAGAGAGATAGCGAAAGACAGAGAGACAGAGAGAGAGTAAAAGAGAGTCCACGAGAGTTACAGACAGAGAGAGAGAGAGAGAACCATTCAAAGATACATTTTTTCTCACCTAGATTGCATGGAGAATGAGTTGTGACTCCAAGCTCTAGAGACCCCGCCCACTTGTCAATCATCTTATCGATCTTGACCTCAAACATTTCATTTTCTTTCAGAGGTCTGTTAGTCAATACAACAGCATTGTTGAAGTCATCCATAGCCCTGGTTGGAAGAGATTAATGAATGATAAGATTTTAAGAAAGAATGATGATAAAATAATGAATTTAATGATTGTTAGCATGTGGGTAAGACGTTTAGACCAAGGTGCTCAGGAATAATAATAATAACAGTAACCTTTATGTTGAATTGAATATCCATTCTCTCTCTCTCTCTCTCTCTCTCTCTCTCTCTCACTCTGAAGCAGGTCCAAGACTTTCAGTACCTTGGCTCGTGGGTTGATCAGTCAAAACAAGACCTGAATATCCGAAAGGGGAAAGCCTGGACGGCTTTGAACAAACTGACAGCCATTTGGAAATCAAACCTCGGTAGACAACTGAAAGTCCGTTTCTTCAGGGCTTCATTGGAAACTGTACTGCTCTATGGTTCAGAAGCCTGGACATTGACGAGTAGCATGGCAAAACAACTGGATGGTTGCTATACAAGGCTCTTTAGAGCAGCACTAAATGTCAACTGGAGGGACCATATGACCAATATTGAACTGTATAGGGACATTACACTGATCTCAGCCAGACTAAGAGACCGTCGCCTCCGTTTCAGTGGGCACTGTGAAATCATTTCTTCACAAATGCTCTTCTGGGAGCCCTCAAGGGGCAAACGCACCAGAGGGCGCCCAGCAATGACTTACATTGACCAGTTAGAAAACGACACCCGTCTACCTAGACAGGAGCTCCCAAAGATCATGGAGAATAGAACTGATTGGACAAGGCTTGTCAAATCAGTGCGAGTACGCTCAACCTAGTAGTAGAATATCCATACCTGGATATACTCTAGGCACCTACCAAGTACTATTATTACCCCAGCTTTAGCCCAGCTACCCTAAGGCACTCAACCCATTAAAAGGAAGTACATCCTACCTGGTAGGCTCTCACCCATTTACTACACCTGGGTGGAGAGTGGCAAAGGTACATCAAGATCTTGCCAAAAGCCATTGGGGCCACAGCTGGGACTCATACAGTGAATCATTTGATCAATATTACAATGATGTATCCACAGGACTAAAACACCCCCACAAAAAAGCATTTCCTTGCAATAGATGCAAATATCACCGAAAATTTAATAGATTTGTAGTAAAAAGTCTTACCTTGGTCTGTGGGCAGACTTGTATCCATCAATGATCTCAGCATGTGCCCCACAGATAGGATGGAAAAGAAGAGGTTCTGCCATCATCCTATCTCCATCTAAAGGAGCATACATTAACAAGATTTATTACTTGATGATATGAATCAAAGTCACAACTGCAGCAGTTGCGTCTTAAGAGAGAAACATATCCTCTTTTATCTTAAATTTGATATTCTGAACTTCACAATTTTGTACGGTCTGCTTTTCACCAAATTTTCAGTAAACCAACCTGCTATTTGATATGGTTTCTCTCAGTACAATTTTTTACAATATCAATTGAATGCTTGAAGCATACTAGGGATTATTGTGTGAGAACAAAAATTCCCTTAACAAAGTCAATGTGAATTGATTTGATTTGATTTGATTTGATTGATTTGATTGATTTATTTCTGTTTGATTATCTTTTTCTTTTGCATTTTTACAAATATATGACAAACAAACATTGCAAATTTACACATATTTTTAATCAGACATTTTCCTGAATGAAACTACAATTGGAACTGAAGAACTCACCTCCAAAGACAAAAGGCAGTTCTTGCTCAGCGAGTGATTTGAGATAATTAAGATGCATCAGACGTCTGTCAAGGGCAGCTAACATTGTACTCTGATGATGCTCAACAATGGAGACCTTACGAGAGAAAGAAAGATGGGAGCAGCAGGAGTGATAGTGAGAGTTAAACAAAAAATAGGTTCAGGCAATTCATGAAAAACCAACATCAGTCTCTGGGACTATCCATTTTTGGAGAAGGCAAAAAAAAATAAAAAAATAGGAAACCAAAATTATCAGACTTGGAGCAGTGAGGCTTTGTTTAAACCTGCATATACAATTTCAGGTGGCAAGTTGGCATGAAAAATACAGTATGCATATATGGAAACTCTATTTTGTATGTTATACTGTTATATTGTCTGTTTGGAGCCAAAAGGGCATTAACTCATATACTTAATAATACAGAGTTAATGAAATGTATGTATGTATCTATTTGTAAATATATACTTTATTTGTTACTTCAAATGAATAATTGAATTGACAATAAGTGAACATTGAGTGGCAATGAGAAGAGGCCTGCCTACCTGCACTGCCATGCCGTAGAGGTCTACAACCCCATAGATTGTACTGGGTACATCAGGAGCAGCTAAGCCTTGGTCACGCCCATTGATGAAGAAGTGGAGATCACCCGATGTCTTGCGTACAACCGCTATGTGGTCTCCTACCTATGTTCAACACATCAAAACATGAAAATATTATGGCATTATCTTGTTGGCAATACTTAATTTGCAAGTACCGGTATTGAAATATAAGGGAAACAAAATACTGTTGATAAATGAATCTGAGTTTTTTTTTTATATGTGATAAATATGTAGACTCATGTATCCCAACCAGTCAAGGGAAGAAAATGATGAAGCTGAGTAAGGGTTTGAAGTCTCCCCCCCCCCCCACCCCACCAAAAGAAAGTAAAAAAGATATATATCAAGAAAATCTTTTCAAGTTAGAGCATGGCTGAAGAAAAAAAGCTAAATTTTATATACTTGTTGTCTCATTTCCTTCATCTGTGTTCATACTTTTAATGGGACCTGTCAACATTGTTCATATGAGAGAAAATGGTGCTAAAGGAGTGACTTCTGAAAGTTTGAGTGAAAACAGACCTTTATTAATGATAAAAATTGGAAAAAAAATGATCTGATCGATTCCTGAATTCTCCCAACTATATTATTATAATTTAATTTAATTTTAGGTGAATGTAAATTGTCACAAAGCAATGAATTGGCTCAATAATATATACCATTCAAAATGTTTAAGTGTTGACAGATTTTTTTAAAGCCTGTTTTATGTTGTATTTTCATGGAAAAAGAGTTGGGAAAATTCTAAATTGGTTGGGAGAATTACTGTTAGAGGGTTTGTGCACAGTGATGCCTTCAAAGAAAACCATAAATATCCTTATAATTTGAGAATTTGTTCAGCATTTTTTGCATGCTAGAGGGTTGGGTTAGTTCAGTAGAAGGAATATAATAAGTAACATTTTAAACAAAAATTACTTATTTTTTATCAACCTTCAACAATGTTACTGGTTCACTTTAAATAACATCCTGTATGTCCTTTGCCCATTCATCGAATGAGAAAAGTCTAGTTTAAAGGGATCGTTTAACAATGTCAAATCTGAGATACACGGCCCTACTTATTATCAGTGTCTGTGATATGGTGTAATATTGAAGCCCTAAAAAAAATTCGCTTCAAAATGATCAAGAAGTGCCTCAAAAAAGTAAAAATCTTTGAGTGACCGGTTTTACCATACTCGTTTTCCCCAATAGACTGTAGTGTTATGAAAATGGTTTTCAAAATTTGTAATTCCATTCATAAATATCTTGATAATCAGACAGGCGATCGGCTTGTAAAAGTCATGGGGTTCCTGACTGACCCAAAGGTTTATAATTATCATTGCAGCACGAGCTAAATCCAGAATTTTGTTTCAGAATCTGAGACAAAGTTACCGGATCCCTTTAAGGGTCAGGTTCATATGCTTACCCCTAATTCATCTAACGTGCATTCACCATACTCTCGCTTCGTTCCTTTTCCATTGGATAAGATGCCACCACCACTCATCATTACAGTTCCTGATCCAGCAGGGAAAAAAAAATGAAAATACAAAGAAAAGATGGATGATGGAGAATTAAAACATACCAATACAAATTTCATATAATTGACATCCATCTGTATTATCATTGAACCTAAAGTAAATTTAACATCGTCCCCAAACTCATTATCTTATACTGGAAAAAACTTTGAAATCAATTATATGAACAAACTAGATCTAGTTCAACTTTATCTGCTGTTTATTCATCTTTATTCAAGAAAACACATATAACATAATAACAAAGATGTAACACAAAACCCAATGCAATGGATGCTTCTCATGCAGGGTAACAATGACAATATACAATAACAAAACCAAAAAGAATACATTATAACGGAAAAGAAAACATCATAACGTCAGAGTGTTGCCAATTTGTTACATTACCTGTGTGAAGGTTTGTCATGGTGGCTGGGAATTCGAGCGTATCTGGATTGTGTGTAGTGACTCCAATCTCTATGGATCCAGACCACTTATCTATTAACTCATCAATACGAATCTAAGATCGGATGAAAGGAAAGTTGGAAAGTCGAAATGAAATGGAAATAGAATTGAATTAAATATTTAATTTAAATTAGAACTGTCTGATCCAGGATCTCAACGGATCCAGAACATTCGTTTCTGGAAGTAGCCCATCTACATATATTATATTTTAAAGCCCCACTGCACTACTTATAGCTACTTGCGCCCTCTATATAGCAAACAATGCCTAATCGGTGACCGCTGGTCCCCCATGGTCCCTTTTTCTTATGTTAATTAAGAGCTGATTTGATGAGATAACCACCTGTCAGTGACCACGCTGGGTGGTCTAATCCCTTCTGGCCAAAATAGTGCAGACAGGCTTTAAGATTGGATGGTAGGAAAGTGAAATGGGAATTTTAATTACTTGCATTTCTGCTGCTGAAAGTCAACAAGGGCATATATGCTCTTATAAAAGCACATTGTTTCATATTCATGAAATTTTTAAAGCAAATAAGATATTTGTCGTCTTCCAAAATGAGAGTTACACTCACCTCAAATATTTCATTGCACCGTAATGCCCTGTTTGTTATCACCACACCATTGTTGAATTCATCCATTGCGTTTGTCCTCTCTGCCGTCTTATCAGAGTTCTTTAACCTTATCATGGTACCGTGTTTCGTGTGAAAACACAAAGGTGAATTGAGCGATGCTGCGGCAACGGCGACAGGCTCGTCAGAATCAGTACTGGTCACATCCGCATCAATGTTATTGTTCTCCTGATCGTTTTCATGTTCATTGTCCTCATCCTCATCATCACACGAGTCATTATCTTCATCACCAACTGAACTCTCCTCTTCCTCCTCCTCCTCTTCCTCCTCCTCCTCTTCTTCCTCCTCATCTTCATCATCATCCTCCTCCTCTTCTTCTTCCTCCTCCTCCTCATCATCGTCTTCATCTATGTCATCATCATCATCCTCATTCTCGTTTTCATCCTCATCAATGTCCCCAATCAAGTCGCCAATGTATTCTCCACACGTATCATCTGTATCTGTGTCTGTATCTTGACAAGAGTCCACTTCTAGCTCTTGGTTGGACAGCGCCATATCACTATTGTTTATTTCTGTAAGAAAGGCAAAAAAGGGGATGTTGTGCTTATACATGTTTGTTGCTCAACCGTTTTGATTGACAAAACTGGTGACTTGAAACTTCCTTATGAACAAAGCACTACAAACACGCAATTTTTGGACTTCCAAGAAAAGAGTACTATCAGATAATCAGACCACTTCATACAAACAAGCTAGATATGTAACAGGCTTCAGGGTAGGAATAGGTTTACCCTTGGTCAAAACTGAGTTAAATATGGTCTTGCAGCATTCCAGGGGGCGGTTTGGGAGGACCAAAGAAACTTTGCAGCTTGAATGTACATACTGACAAATCTATTACTCTTGGGGGGGGGGGGAGAATTTGTCCCTGGCATATTTTGTTTGTCTTAAGCCCCACACACCAACTGTGTTATAATAATATACACTTGTGAGAACCTTTCTTGCAAGAGGATTTGTTTCAATCTAATGCTTACCTCTTGGTGAAGGTACCACGGTGACCTTTGTGCACTTGCCATACAAGTCCACCACAGCATGCACCTTCTTGGGTAGATTAGACGCAGCGACGCCCTGATCAACGCCATTCAGGTAGATCCGAAGCTCACCGTTCCGCTTCCTCTGCACGCCGACCCTGTCTCCAAGGGCGCAGGAGTCAAGGTCACAGGCGTATTCGTCCAGGATGGACTCACTGTTGCGCAGGACAGTGCATCCAGAGAGGATCCAGGAGCCTTCGCAGAGAGCTGTGGCACTGGGAGGGAGCTCCAGGTTGTCTGGGTCCAGGGAGATCACCCCAACCTCAATGGATCCACTCCATGTCTCCACCTACAAATTTGATAAGAGTGATTAAGATCATTAGTGGCGGTGGGCAATGTATTGGTTTCTTAATGGGAGCTACGGTATTGAACTCTTTATTTGCTACCGAGAATAAAGGACTCTATTTACATAAGAGGAAACCCTGGAATAGTTTAAATGAAGATCTAGTGAATTCACCCAGTGTCTATGGTTTCTTAAGTGGTCTGGACAAGAACTGGAGAAGTGAACCTGTCAAGTTTGAATTCAACACCAACCCACCTGGTCATGATCCGTAAACTTTACATCAATAAGGAATTTGGTACTGATAAAGGCTTAGGCCTGCATTTAGAAAATTTAGACTCACACAAGTTTTGATTCTACTCGCATCTGGAGTCAACTACCAGCCACGGCAGGTACTGCCCCAACAGTTGCTGCTTTCCAGAAGGCCGCATGTAATTTCCAGAATGCCATAAACTATAGGAGCATGGTTTTTATTTGCATATCCCTATTCTATGGTATAGATATTGTACACTGTTCTGTTGTTGTCTGCACCATCAACCACGCAGAGAATGCGCATTATGTTCATCCCGTCTCAGCCTCATTTTCCTAAATTGGCACCTACATGGGTCCTTCTGATAGGCTATTGCTGGCTGCAGTATAGCTTGGAAAAGTTGCTTCAGGGATTATCTCATCAAGTATCAAGCCATTCGCTCAACGTTATAAGATCTTGGTGCGAGGAGAAGCTTGCGATTTTCTGTTTGATCCAATAAAATATTTTTTTTCTCAGCATTTTGTGCCATTGTGAATACCTGGATAGCGCTGCATGCCTGCATCACCATAACGTCACGAAAACCTTTGTATTATTTGTTTTATAAAATGGGACTACTATCAAATTTTAGCTAGCAAGGCAATAACACTGTAAACCTGCAACCTTCAAACAAATAGTGTGTGCACACAGACGATCGCAGCAGCAGTGGCCTCGTAAATAGACTGTGCATGCATGGTGCGACTTCTTGTAAACATCCATTGATACGCAGCTTGCATTAGGCCCGGACTTGTCTTTCCTTTTTTGTAGCACTTTTTTGCACGGTTGTTATCACCAAAATGCACTCACAGTGCACATATGGTAAAAATGAATGCACGCACACATGATCAGATTTGGACGCTTCTCATTGGCTTCATTAAATCATCCCTTTATTAAATATTAGTCATCATGTTACGGTAACCCCCCCCCCCCCCCCCCCTCTCTCTCTCTCTCTCTCTCTCTAGCGTTAGGTCTAGCTCTCTCTCTCTCTCCTTCGCTCATTTTTTCACACAACAGTAATTTTGTCACTGTCAAAGGAAACAGAATAAATAGACCCTGATTTTCTTAGCTTGCTGGAATAGATATAGATCTAGGCCTAGATCTACTTTCTTTATACTTTGGCTAGATGGATTCAACTGAAGACGTACGTATGATAGAATAGGTGGGTCCACGAAAAAATTGTACATTTTACATAGGCAGTCTCGCACAACATTGAGCCCGGCTGTTCGAGGTCGACAAGACAAGAGCCGACGGCCGACCCAAAATGAACATACCTTCTCGTCGATTATGACTTCGTAAACTTCTCCATCTTTCAGAGGTCGTTTACTGAATACTAGTCCGTTGTTAAATTCTTGTCTGGAGTCATTTCTTCGTGCAGATTTATCATCATCACTTAAAGAAATTAAGGTTCCACATTTGTTGTGAAAAGGATGAACTCTGCGATGGCTCGCCATGTTTTCGCCGGCGATATCCATGATGAATATTCATAAAACTTGCACCGGTTTAGCCCATTTTTTTAATTCTGGACGATGTACTTTTATTTTATTATTTTTGTGTAATTTCGTATTATGAATTGCATTGTTTGATGTAATTAAATATTAATTATATAAATTTTTAACAAATAAAGATCATTGTTTTTCAAATAAATGTTATAGTAGCCAGTAAATTTTCGATAGAATATGTATAAGTCCCTATATAAAAGTGGACTAGTCCATCATTTAAGACTGTAGCAGTTTGTAGTAGTGTATTGTATATAATTTATAAATCTTCTCCATCCTACATGAGAGGCTTGTTGGTCTAGTGGCATGATTCTCGCTTTGGGTGCGAGAGGCCCCGGGTTCGATTCCCGGACAAGCCCCGTTGAATTTTTTGTGTTTTTGTACAGCCAATTTAGAGAATATCTCTAATCACAGAAAAGTCACACTTTCATATACAAACTGATGAACAATCTTCGATGGCTTAGAAAATTTGTCTTATCATGTTTGAATTCATTTTGAAGCGAGTTACAGTAATGGTTCATTATCCCTTTGTAACAGTCTGTACAAATTTATGCAACACTTCCCTAGATGTTTCTCTTTCCCTGCCTACCCTTCTCTTTCTCTTTTTTTTTTCCTGCCTACCCTTCACTTTCTCCATTTCCTGCCTACCCTTCTCTTTCTTCTTCATAGCTGTCTTTCCCTTTGTTATGTGTCTCCTTCGGATCCCATATGATTTTTTGTCTACCAGGAAGGCGCTTGCTTATAAGCCTAGCTTTTTTTAAAGGTCCTTCTCACTTGCAAACTTTCCATTACGTTGTACTTTATAATGTATATGTTTACTGCCCTGTTAATATGCCTATATCACACACATATATGTAATTTAATTCTTGCTTTTGAGTGGGACAAATTGAATTTAATATTTTTTGTATAGTACAAAAGCTTCTTCCGTTTCTTTCTTCTTACAATAAAGTAGATTCTACCTTGATGTTGTACACATAGTGGTACTCATACTCAAACATGTATTTTGTGAAGTCCAGACATATAAAGCGCAATGTCCTATCATTAGGCCTACAAAAAAAGATGTTGCATTGCCCTTTGCGACCGACCCCCAAAATTTTTAATCGACGGTCAGCTTTTAAAAAAAAATTTGTTACCGTTTTTTAGGAGAAAAAAGGTATTAAAGCATTCAAAACTTGAGAAATATCAGCCCAAAGAGGGAAAAAAAAAAAGCATAAAAGAAGTTTTTAAAAAAGAAAAGATTTCCGACCGACCGACCCACGTTTTGGCACCTAAAGGGCAATACCAGTACATCTTTTTTGTTAGGCCTCATTGCTAGTCTGCAAGCACAAACCCGTATCAGTTAGTGTTGACCCTCCTGACACAACCAGTAGGTAGCTGGGCTAGACTTCTCTCAAGGCACAATGATTTTTTGATATAGTGTCAAATTAGTGTAAAAAAATGTGACAGATTATTTTGAGGCATTTAAGCATGTCATATGCAAACAAGGCCTACAAAGAATGGTAATCTAATTTATTGACAATTAATCAGAGACAAAGAACAGACAAACAAGAGATATACTATAGCTCATTTTAATGAGAACATCAACATTAAGATAAATCCTCCACACACACCGTTACTTTCACTCCCTTCAATGCGCATTCGTGGCTCATGACAGATAGATGTGGTTATTCTATGGCTTGTATTCTTAAAGACAGCCCAAGTAACCCTAGTTTGACAAACTCATTTACTAATTGTATGCATATTTTTATAGTTTCTCTTGACAACTAAAATGATTGCCAACGCTTCCCTGACATAGCAACGACTAATGTACGAACAGTGGAATCCACCCATAGAGATGCCATCATTCAAAGCAGGTGAATGAAATGGCTGGTAGTTACAGGTTAGGGAGAGAAACATGCATAAACTATACAGAGTACAAATGAATCAAAGTCCCACTTTGTGCATTTTAGAATAATCACTGTCAAAATGTTGACATGGAGGTGCTATTTGAATACCTTTCATTTGCCCTCTTGAGAGGAAAAATTCTACCTGTGTACCATAGAATGTATTGTCTTTGCATAAAAGAAAAATGATTACATAACTTTTATTTAAAATTTTGTACAAATGACCTTTATCTGACCGTACCCCAGGTATTATCTACAAACTGGTTTATTCAACTAGCCATGGCATTTTGAGCATGTGTCTACAGGGTTACAAGAATAAATCTGTCAAAACTAAACTTTCCAAAACTACAAGTAAAACAAGGCAAAATTACAAATTTGACTTTCAAGATGATTTGATTCCCAGTGGTTGCATGATAGATACATGATTTAAACCCAATTATCTTTGACAATCTATAATGAATAATGATTACTTAATTTCATTCAGAAAAAAAAAATTACTTTATATACCGTCTGTTTGGAGCGAGATACGGTAAGCATTTAAGTTAATAGAGCTCCAAACAGACAAAAATACAGGGAATTCCTCTTAACAGATGATATAGTTGCGAACAATGCAATCACAAGTGAACTCTCAATAACGCAACAAGAAACTCCTAAGGTACAAGTATTTGGTGCTGTTTCAGCACTTTAATTCTGAGTAGAAATTTTTTGCAACTTCAACAGATGACCAAGGTGCATTGAAAAGACCGATGGTCACCTCTTTGAGTTAACCAAAATTATTAATAAATTAATAAAAATAAGTCAACAGTATAATAAGTACCGTAAGCATTTTTCATATTATTGCCTAATTCTATATCTTTTTTTTAAAAAAATTTCTGAAGCATATAGGGACCGAAAAGTGTAAATTTATCAAGTATCGTTTATCCTTATTATTATTATTAAGTCCATGCTTCTCTTCCCCCAAGATTTACACGGTTATAACCAAAATACTGCATTAATGGGATAGCAACTTAATTAACAAAGCAATCAGTTTGAAAATATGTTCAATATGGAATTCATACAAAGGGGTACATTTAACATTTGACTGGAATGGTTAAAATACGGACAAAATATCACTTAATTCACAGATTTTTTTCAAAAAATCTATTTCTTTTTGTTATGCATCGGTAAAGATCAGAAATTAATGATCTACTTTTTTAAAAAAAGAGGCCTCCCCCTTCCATCAGAGTCACAATAAAAAAGACAATTAATTTGGTCATTTTTACAATACACACATGAGTCATGAATCAAAATCTTCAACTAAGCATACATGCCATTATCATAGCTATTACATGGTTAGTACCTCCCTTAAAACATTCTCAGGTGGGCAATAGTCAAGATGAAGAGGGCATTTTAAAATAAGTACATAGGATGAAAAGATAATATTTCTAATGGCAAGCACACAGGATAACTTATACCAGTAATGTACTTTCAAACAGATGGAGAAATAATCTCTCAACTTCAAAGGAAATCCTCTTTTACCATTGTTGAAGGACAACTAAACAATGTTCAAAATAAGTTTATTTGTATGAAAGCAGAAGAATAAAAGAAACAGAATGGCAGAAGTTTTAAATAAATCAGACCGATAACAGCAGTTATGAATGATTAAAATCACTAAACATATGCACATCTTAAGTTGGCAATTTGGTTACTTGGGGTACTACTCAAAATATATTATGAACAGCTTAATATTATAGGTCCTCTAAAAGGAAAGGACCCTCCTGAGTCATACATTTATAAATTAACATTTTTGTGTGTTGGAAAAAATGGGGAAAAATTTGTTTTAAATATTCATAACTCTCTTAATATTTGTCAGATTTTGCTCAAACTTTCACCAGTCTGCTTCTGTTTTCTGCTTCCAATTGGAGTGGTATGATTCCCCTTATTCCTCTTATCACCTTCTTAACTTCTCTAAATACACCTCAATATAATTACTCATTAACAAATGAACTGTAGAACATATTGACACTTTTGATAATATATAACCATAAACTCACTGAAAGTTAATCCTCATTTAATGCTAACTAAATCACATAGCTGCATTTTAAAAACATCACTTTTTAATTCTTCAGTGAATGTAACCCTTCCAAAAGAACATTGTACAGTCAAGCCTGCCTTAGTGACCACCTGTCTACAACAAGCAGATTTTTGTTTCCCTTGAAAATGGTTTCTCATTGAAACATGTACTAATGGAACCTGTCTAGAAAGACCGCTTTTTGTGTTTCCCTTGGGCGGTTGCTATAAACAGGTTTGACTATAATATAAACATACCAACTTGATTACTAAATATGAAATACTAACACTCTAACTAAAGCTCTTTCCTGTTTGCATATTCCTTACAAGCAATTCTTTGTGTATATTATCCCTTTCATGAGAAGATCTGAACATACTATCAAATGGTCTAACTACAGTTTTTTTTCTTCTGAGAAGCATGTACCGGTAAACTCCCATAATGAAACTCTGACATCTCTCCACATGACCTACTTTTTTGTTTGACTACAATAACATGGCTCCTGTGTGAGAACTTTGAGTAAGCAGACTAAAATGGCATCCAACATAGGGTAATTATATGCGATGTGTCTTGATATAACATACCACTTCTATCCATTTATTTGATTAAAAAAAGAAAATCTCATGATACGACCACCAAAGAATGATTCTTTCGGTTATCACTAATGTTATTCCTCGGTCATGTCACAAGATTTTCTATTTTTAAAAGAATAAATGGAAAAAGTCATATGCTGTACAGGACACATTTTGCAGAATCATCCTATAGACACTTCTGCATTGTTAATTCATAAATGATCAACGAATATCTGTTGATCCTTGACTTGTATTCAAATCATCAATCCCTTTAACACTACCCTAGCTAAGAGGTCTCGTAGAACGAACAGATATCTAGGATAACTTGAGAGTGCTTCGAAATGACAGGTTTCGATCTATTGCTCCAGAAAATAAACTCTAGCAAAGGAAGAATAAATTGATTAACACTATGTTTATATTATATTGGAGATCTAACTAATCAATATCTAGGATAGCTTGAGAGTGCATCTAAGCAATAGGTTTTAGTCAGTTTCTGGACGAACAGTTCAAGAGACTCTAGCACAGGAAAACAAATTTGAGCAATCTACCATATGCGTGACCCTTTGTGACATCATCCTTACTATCCTATGTGACATCATTACTACCACTTCGAACCCTTTTCTGTGTGCTCCCAACATCTATCTCAACATTCTCTAGACTCCAGCTTTCTTGATACATGTATACATACGTGCAGCTTGCATAGACTATTCATGACTTGTCTCGACACCAAATAAGCTATAGTAACTTATACTAATAATAATATTTTGCTAATAAGCCTCAATATTTCATCTTTGTATATTTACAATTTATTTACAGATAGTCAAAAATGGAAAAAAATAAATAAGAATATTGCAGCTGACGTTATTTCTTTTTTTTCTCCGGTGAGCACTTCGGACAAAACCTGTAAAGAGTTTAAAAAACAAAAAATAAGGGTTAACATAAAGATAATAATAATGATGATAGTTGATTCTTTTATAGCGCATTTCAGGACCGCAAGCCCTCTCATTGCGCTTTACAGATATATATTATTACCCGGTCATCGGGTTCAGGCTTACCCGCACATAATGCATGCACATTCTCCACTCCCTCGGGAGCATTCCAGCCAGGCATCATTTTTACAAGCACATACTAACTTTTGCATCCTACCGGGTACCCATTTAACACCTGGGTGGAGAGTGGCAAATGTAGATTAATGTCTTGCCAAAGGACATTAGTGCAGTGGACCTAGTGATCCACAGTCCGGTGACATATCCACTCGACCACGACACCTTTAACAGTGACTACAATGCAAAGATCTGCTACATAAACTTTGTAATAATAATAATATTTCTTGTTTACCCAGGGTAGCCTCATCAGTAATAATACTGATCTCCCTGTAAGCACTGCAATCATATTATTACCCCGGCTTGAACAGTATATTTGAACATCCCTGGCCCGTCTTATAAAGAGTTGATATTAATCGCAACTATGTACATAAACGATAGGGGACTAAAAACTTGGATCAATCGCAAATCTTTGTAAGATGGGGCCCAGATTACAATCTTGAATTAATTAAATTGCTGAATATCTGAGGCACTGGTTAAACACACTACTTACACTTTGACTTTTATATGAAAGAAGCTGAATTGTTTATTCATTTTGACACAGAGTGTTAAAGAAGAACATCTCTTAAATGACATGTTTGATTGAGGAGCAATTTCAAAAGGGTTGAAGTACCATTGTTGATAATCTTGCACCCATTACACTGAGGGATTGATTTATCAACATATCATCTGTTTGGAGCCAGAAGGGCACTATCTTATGACTATACCACAGAGTTAATGCCCTTCTGGCTCTGAACAAACTATTTAGTTTTACAATTAAGGACTAATTAGAAAGTTCATTTAGAAAGATCTCTTTGGCTACTCACCATTTTCCTTTCGGTTTCGTGACCAGACCAACGCATGCAAAATGGAACCACTCGATCGGACACTGAAAATGCAGGACAGAATTGAAAGAGAAACAGTTCAGTACAGTGTGCAAGGTCATAAAATCATAAAGAGCATAGTTTGGCAATGTCATGATTAACGCCCGAGATATCAGTTTTTAGTTTGATCACAGAATGACCCATTGCCACAAAATTTACCACACAAGTCGAGAATCCTATTTGCTGAAAAAATAGCATTCCTTTTTTGGTCTGTAAACTTCTTTTTTTTCATTTTATTATCTTAACTTATATAAGGTACGGTACGTTTTTTCATTAATTACATGTACAACCAGATAGATCTTAAACAGATCATATAGGTTCTCATACATCATTCAAACCTTTTACTGAAAGAGGAGAGATATTCCATGTTTTGGTCATGGACATTTATCATGTCAGCTAATATTTTTCAACTTTTAATTTTTCACTATACTTAGGAGTTGCGATAGTTGAGCGAAATAAGGACTCTTTATGTTCTTGTCTAACATGAATGCCTTTCAGAGTATGCCATTTACAGCAAGGTTGAATGATCTTATTTTCATTCTTGTTTCACCGCCTCCTGCTGATAATACTGCTGATTTTAATTAATAAAATACAATAATCCTGATTATTATCTATATGAGGCTTCCAAGTGGTACAATAAATCAGTGTATTCAATATCTTTAGCGCAGACTAACCAATATTGTTTTCGTATTGCTTCATCCGGGAACTTCAAATATCGATATCACACAAAAATAAGGTCATATTTACCAAGGTAAGTCAAATTTTGGTATTTCGCTAGTCAGACTAGATAATAATAATAATATTGTATGGCTTATTTTGCGTGTGATACAAGAATATATTGCTCTCGCTAAGACAATATTAGACTCGTCTTTGACTCGTCCAATATTGTCATAGCTCGAGCAATATATTCTTGTATCACACTCAAAGCCATCCAATATTATATAAATATTCCTCATCATTTTTTTTAAAAATAAAATATTTCAATGAAATACTCACATCTGGGTTATCACAACCAATCATCTCGCCGTAGGAAACTTGATGACATAAGCAATACGTTGGCTCGTTGGGGTCGACTGGCATGTCAAGGACGTCTGAAGGTGAGTTGATGACTGATGGTAACGTTAGGATGGGAGTTACAACACTGCAGTGGGGCAAAGAATTAATTATCATGAAGGTCATCATTTATTCTTCTGGAAATTTGGCCACAACTTAAACAACTAACATGAAAATTGATGAAACTGAAAGCACAAACTTTAGACTACAAATGCGTGTCTGGTCAATTCAGGGGCGTATCCAGGATATAAAGAAGAAAACAACAACCTAGGAAGAGCAGAAAAACAGAAGAGATGGTGCGAACAGTACACAATTACAACAAATCTCTAACTACCATTAATATTTTCAGATGCATTTTTTATCATATTTGAAAAGACACATAAACATAAGTATTTGCATATTATTTTCATGTGTACTAAGTGTTAAATAAGTTTTAAGGGTGGGACACGTTTTTCCGGTCATGCTGGTTTGCTCAATTACAAAATTAATTCACCAGAACATTTTCGAGGAAATACTCTTTACTACAAGAACTATTTGATCCTTCGGCAAATAAAAGGCTTTCATGCCCAATAATACACTACCAAATATGTGAATCTCATTTACCTGTATGTTCTAAAGTACAGAAATTGGAAATGCGAAAGTCATTTTATTGTTTTTTTCTTTTTCTTTTCTCTCAGGCAGTTTATTGTCCCATGTCTGAACAGGGGTTTACTGGACATAATAGAAACATCTTCATACGATCTAGACTTACGGTTCGACAGCGGAGGTCTTCATCTTCTTCCGTGAAGTCTTTGGTGTTTCATCATCAGACGATCTTCCAGCTTTCTTCAGTTTCTTCGCAGATTTTTCAGCTCCTTTTTTTTCTAAAGAGTGATAAAAAATATCCAAAAAAAATTGTTAATTCCAATATGTTTAAAACCTTTGGGTAAGAGGCTAAAAAAGAAACCTCTCTTTATTTTGACCAATTATCTTAAAGTAGACATCTCCATTTCCGCCTCCGTTTCAACAACTCTTTAGCAATCATGCCTACATTGCCTATATTTGAGGATTTCTAATCAAAAGACCAAAATCATCATTAGGGGCAAATCTACAATATTCAAATATGATTACATCAATTCTGCTACTTCTATCCAATTCTTGCAAAATATTAAAAATGAATGCAACGTGTACGTGGTATTAAAACACAAACTGTTGTTGATAAAGCCGACAGCTGTTGGCTTTGAGAAAACAGATAACTTGCTGTAATGCCAAACAAAGTTCATACGAGCTCAACTCAGAAAATGAAAGAGAGACACAACAAAAAAAATACACGGTGGCGACGGGCGATTCGCCCCCTAAACCTCTGAAATCGCCACGGTAAAAATCAAGACGAGGGCGAAAAAAAATCAATATATCTTGAAAAATCGCCCCCGCCATAAATTGATATTCCCTATGAATTAATAAACCAATTTATTGATGTGTCTGAGTGAAATCTCCGTTCCAACTACCAACTCCAAAACTAGAAACTTCCATCAACATTTTAAAAGTTTTGTGAGTTGCAGCGGATCGGCGGTCGTACCTACTGTAGCTAAATCTACAGCGGTATCCGCCTGCCTGCGCCTAAGCTCCCGGCGGCCGGACAGGCCACCGGCCCCGATGTAGTTTCGTGCACAGCATGAATGCATACGCAGTTCACACACGTTCACAATACACAGAAACGTACTAGCTCAGCTCCAGCGCGCGCCCGCACGCTCCTTGTATGAAGCAAATAAGTATTTGCGAGTGACGAGAGCTCAACTGCTAGCGACCAAATTGGTACGTAATATGTTTATTTAGTCTTTTTTCTGGCCCTAATTTTTATCATGGACAATGCAATCCCATTAAAAAAAATGTTATTCCGTCTAAAATTGTGTTATTTATAAGTTAAAACCATTAAATGCGAGTATATTTTTACTGTTGTCCCACATACTGATATATTTGTAATAACGAAACGTGCAAAATCAATGCCGGATTTTTTCCTGTAAAATCGGTATAAAGCAAGTTTCGTACACAGAAATTGAATTTTGTTATAAAAAAAACCGTAAATAAATATATAAAGGATCTTCCTACTCCTCAGAATCTTTCTTACAACTGTTTAATTAAATTAAATTATTTATATACGATCGATGCCAGGCCAATTGTCATGAGTGATGATGACATCAATTTCTGTCTACGAAATGAAACTAGCTTTGGCTTGGCCTTTAGAATTAGAGTCTATAAAAAAAAAAATAAGGCCATGATTTTGCATGTTTCGGCATAACAAATAGACCCTACATCGGTATGTGGGACAACAGTAAAAATATTTACTGTACTCACATTTAATGGTTATAAATGGTCTAAATAACACAATTTTAAAGGGAGTTGGTCTACATTTTTTTTAATGGGATTGCATTGTCCATGATAACAATTAAATTTGGGACAGAAAAAAAGACTAAATAACATATTACCTACCAATTTGGTTGCTAGTAGTATGATGGCTAAGGAAAAACACAACTTATTGTTACAGCTTACAATATGGCTTTAACCCTTACTGTACTGGGCTATTTTGAGCACCTCCTGACTGGGGGGGGGGGGGGGGGGCCTGGGAGGCCCCCCCCTATGATCTCGGCCGTCGGATGTCCGATGAACACGAAAATTTGCATGTTTGTAGATATTTACGTAACGAACAAGATGGTGTAATTAGTTTTTTGCGAATATGCAAATTTTTGTCGTTATAGCCTAATTAATTATGCAAAATGCTAATTTTATGCATTTTACAGAAAACGTGTCAAACTTCACTTTTTGAACATTGAAACTCATTTTTCATATGAAACTTCTTTTCTAACACAAAATATTTATTTGGATGTAATTAATAATGATAATTTATGCAAATTTGATGCGATTTTCAAATATTTATTTTCTTATCTATTATATTGTTTTTTTATTTCTTATTATATCTATTGTTTTTATTTCTTATGTATTCTTTTGTTCTGGAATACATCAAGTTACTTTGAGAAACATATAAAAGCAATTCGATATCACTTCATATCACCCACTTAGGAAGGAATACATCTAAACCTGTATTCACATTTCTGCTTGTACATGAATATATGCAATTATAGCATATTTTTGATGACATGCGCATACTAATTGTTATGTAACACCTCACAGGTACATCCGATTGCGACGAAAATGGTATCAAAACGTGCGTAAGACTTGAGGGAAAAAAGTCATGAAACGACAATTCAAAATTTCAAGCGGTTGCGGCGCAATCTCCGAAAATGTCGAGGGGGGGGCCTCCCAGGTCCCCCCCCCCCCCAGTACAGTAAGGGTTAAGGAAGTAGCCCCTTGGTTTTTTTTTTAGGCAATGGGGAAAAGTAGCCCCCATAAAAAAATTAATTCCTAGCCCGCGTGTCAGTGATAATATTTTCTTAGGATATGAAAAACGAACAGTTAAACAAAACGCTCCTTTTGACAAGTTTTAGTTACATGTATATGTAAATCATAAAGCCACACGTTTAACACAAAGTGAATAAATCATGGGTATCTGAATGTCTGCAATACTCTACATGACATTATGTACGCTACAATTGTATCTATATTTGCCTTTGCTTGGAATTTAATTAGGTAAAACCGCGTTTAAAAAAAATACAACCTTTAAAAAAAAAAAGCCCCCCTGAGCTCCAAAATAGCCACCGCAAAATAAGTAAGGGGGGCTATTTTTTTAAGGGAAAATCTGAAAAGAGCCCTCGTAAAAAAAAAAGTAATTTTTTGGTTGGAGAGACATCAATATCGAATAGTTGGAGGGAATAATCGAGCCTGCATGATCAATCACAAGTTTTAGGTGATTATTTTCTCTCTTTTTCTACATTTCTTTAAACCAATTGAAAATTAAAATGGGACTTCTCGGTTTGATATAGGAGTCAGTTCTAGAGAGAAAGATAAGATCTTACTTTTTTCTCTGCCTTCGACGGGTGAGGCCTGTTCCAGCGTTCTCTCTTTTAGCTCCTGCTCAAATCTTGCCAAGTCTGCATCTAACCGTCGTATATGCTTATCAACCTGGGCAAAGAGGGGGCAAAGAAGGGAATGAACGTTTTCTTTCTCATTAGAATTGCTTGCACAAAATTAGAATCAACACATAACAAATACATCAGCTGTGCTTTACAAGGCCTACTTTTCTATCTATCAATGTATCTTCTCACAGTTCGGAGGTTGATTGCAACATTTTTCCACACATCTCTGTTCACTGTCATTCTAGTATACTCTTGCAGTGTCATTCTTCTCCATGTCTTAATGTTCCCCTCCCAGTTGGTTCTTGGTTTCCCTCTCGGTCTGATACTTTCCACTTTCAACACTTGTTTTGGGGCATCCAAAACTTCCTCCCTGGGATTCCATAAGGCCATTTTTCACTCAATTTGAATCAAGAAATACACACTTGCAATTTACAATACTGAGTTTGCAGTCTCAAGTACCCCCTCCACCCCCCCCCCCTCCCCCTCCCTTCACACCATAATGCCAAACCGTCATTCTGTAACTGTGGACCATCAGTAAACAATTTTCAGCCGAGAAGCTTGTCCCTTACCATTTCATACGTCTGCATAGCGAGCTGAACTTTGTCGTCGCCATATTCCCTGCTCTTTGTGAAAGAATGGTTGATCTTCTTCAGTCTCTCCGCTCTCTGCTCAGGCTTCAGATCCTTCACAGTCTTCAAGTAGTTCACTGTGTCTTCGTCTATGCTCTTGGCAAGCTCTGTCAAATTTGGAGATGGATAAATAAAAACTGAAAATATCCACAATACAGGGAGAAAAAGTAATGTGGGCCTTACTTTCAAAAAAATGTTGACCATTATTTTAGAATCAATACATTTTGCGATATATGAGAAATGCTGGTTTTACAATGAAATGTTTTATAAATTATAATAAGGAATCAATCTCATACAGTCAACTATGTGCATTATCATTTTAATTCAAAGAAATGGTGATTTGTACAAGATAACAAGGTTGAAGTTTGGCATTCAAAAAAAATTGCTGGACTACATTTTCACACCAATGGGCAGGTTTAAGCTTATCTTACAGTTAGGCAGCTTTCTAGAATGTGGCCCATTCTGTTTTACCTTGTGTTCTCTGGTCTAAATCTCTCATCAAAGTGAAGTTCCTCTGCAGTTCAAAAGGAAGATTTTCAATACCTAGGAAAAAAATAGAGAGAAAAAGTTTGTGATGGATGGAGGGGAATTGTTAACTTTGTGTTACATTTCAGCAAATGTGAATCAATAAAGAGATAGACCTCTAGATGTGATTCAGAACAATAATTCTCCTCTAGTAATGGACGTTCTTGAAACTGAAAAATGAGATACATACACAAAATAATATACACACGAATGTGGGAAGTTAATTCTAAAAGTAATGAGACTTTGAGGGAAATAGCCATGGACTCATTTATCTAGGCTTGCCTCACCAGTGTTAATATTTTTCCCTGGGCTATTTTGCATAAAAATTACTACTAATGGTAACTCCCATGGAAACTTTGATTGGATGGGCTGCAGAATAATGTTGCCATGGAAGTTAATAATTAATAATGGCATAGTTACCATCAGTGGTAAGTTTTATGAAACAGGCCCTGGATGGCCCTACAAAGCTACAACCCTCTGTTTAGAGTCTAAAAGGCATTAAATCTGTGTAAAATGACACATGTTAATGCCCTTCTGGCTCCAAACGGACAATATTACGGGGAATTCCTTGCCAAATGAAATTCATCAACCTCCCCCATACACAGACGCCAGGTAACCCATCACTGCCAAATAGCAGGGAGAGGAAAGAAATGAAATTCCCTTGGAATCCACAAGAAAAGCACACATCCATATAAATGCAGTGATCAAAGAGAGACCATCAGTGCCGGCTCTGTGGACATTGGTGGTCTATCTTCACTATGATCACAAGTACAATTGCTTCTGCATCTAGTAATAGCAGCATTATCAATTTATCATTTCACAGACCTCAACCTAAAGTAAACTCTTGTAATTATGCTACAAAGGATTTTGAAAATAATTTCTATTTCCAGGTGAACGTAGATTAGATTATTTATTATTGTTAAATAGGTCTATTAGATTAAAGTAAACATTTGACTAAATGCTTACTGGCTGAATCCAGAAACCAAAGCAATTTATTTGGCAATATTTAACAATCGCAGGAGAAAAAATGACATTATTTAAAAAAAAATCCCCATGACTGTACCATAACCATGTCACTGTCAGATAGTTCTGTGACTCTGTCTAGACCTAATTAGTAATTAGAAAACTTGCTGAAACTGAAGTCTTCATATCTAAAAGGTCACCTACAATTAATTATTAGGCTTAATCCAGTAGCCAAATAATGCAATTTGGCAATTTTTAATGATCACATTACAAAAGTCATGAGAAACTTCAATTCAAAGAGGGGCTCATGTTTTATGTTCACAATTTTCTCATAGAACCTAGTCTATTTAATAATTGGGTTCAAACATCTATTCATTGATTTTAAGCTCCACACACAAAAAAAAGGGATCATGTCAGTCAGTGTCATGTCAGTGACCATCAGTTCTGCAATCTTTTTCCTTTTTAACTTCAATATCTTACAAATTACAATATCATGCATAACTATCATTAAAACATTAACAATTTTGATTGCGTCTATAAATATACATGTAGGTCTAGATGATTCACATGAATTCATGGGATTAATTATCACATAACCAAAGACGTTTCTCAGCTAATTATTCAGCTATTATAAGCTACGGCGGGTAATCAGATTCGCACGGGCCATCTCCCCGTTGAAGGAGGGCTAAAGATCCGTACGACTGAATGGCCTCCGCTCCATAGATCCCGTGTTGTAGCTATCGCAGGCCGACAAGCGAATACGCAAACTATCCACACACACAAACCCATAGCATGACTCATTCATTCCGCACAGCGTATACAAACATATCGCACAGTGCAGTGTAGGGTGCACCATACTGAAGGAATGCGAACCACCTTCATGAATACATAATTAGGTACATTTTGAGCCCAATAAAACCACACTTTTCTTCAACGATCATACATATAAACCAAGCATTCTACATTTAAAAATTGTGAAGTATTAAAATAATTACACATTGAATTCCGTCAACTTCTAGAAAAGGCAAAATTATCCACTTACTGTCGAGGTACTGCTCGAGATATAATGCTGTGGCCATGGTTGTCAAATGCGTTCCCGCGTAATAAAACCCTAGCCGAGTTTTCTACGCCGGGTGTCACGTGACTGATTAACATTGTGTTTTCGGATTGGCGGCTCGTTCAAAACGTCACGAGCATAGTAATGCAATAACAGTGAATGAGGTCTAGGGTGTCTACTTCCGGGTTGTAAATATGCTTCTGATTAGTTCGATAAACTTTTACAATATGTCACCTCCCTGGTTTTTACCAATTCTAATGCATTTGCACTTGCGAAATGTTAAACTTGCAAAATGTTGCACCTAAATTATGCATAACATAACAAAACCTTTTACATGTAAATACAAAACAAAACAAAACAAAACAAACAATTAAAACCAGAAGGAAATGGAGAAAAAAATGCAAAAAGAACTTTTAAAAAAATGAACAACAAAAAATAAAAATAAAAACCATTCTGATGCATTTAATAACACTCTTTTAGTTAAGGTACCCTTTTCTTGCAAACAGTTTTCCTATATGTAACAGGAAAATTTCAAATCCATAGATTTTATAGTACCTCAGTGAGGGGTTATAAGTTAATTGTTTCCACAAAAAGAGGATTCTCTTTACGATTTTTCAATTTGCAGATAAAGCCCCTAAATATTAATAAATAAATCATGGAAATAAAATGTTGAATCGTAGTGTCCCATGCAGACCTAGGCTGCCAATAATATCTAGAGATCAAGATTATTTGCATCTTTTGCAAATACAGTAATCTGGACATCGATCACTATATCCAATGTTCTACATTAATTAGTCAGGACTCAAACAGCAAAATATAGAGAGTATACACACAGTGATTTGTATCTGTATACAAAAATGTTTTAAAATGTCGCTCAGTGGGGGGGGGGGGGGGGGGGGGGTGGGGGGGGGGCCTTGAGCAACAAAAAATTGAGGGGGGAGGATAACCTCCGAAACACCACCCCCCCCCCTTGCGTACGCGCCTATAATGACATTATAAATCATAATCAAATTTTTGAAGGAAATTGTTAGATTTTATTTAAAATACCTATAAATATTCGTGCAGATGACATCAATATGCTCCTTCCAAGATAATTTACTGTCAATAATATTTTTACACCTAAAAATTTCAGGGAACTACAATGATTGTTTGGAACACCCCTCAAATTTGTGTATGTGTATGTTTTGGAAGGACCCCCCCCCCCCCCTCCCTCATAAAAAAACATATGTAAAAAAAAAATTAAAAAAAAAAATTAAAAAAAATTGTGCCAAAGAGTGACCAAAACAAGGTGACTTACCCCCTCCCCCCTCCCCCCCCCCCCTAACTGAACGAAATGTCGGTCGGCCAAATTTTCAAACTTTCGGGACAAAAAAAAAAGTACTCTCGGGTATGCATGCCAGTTGTTAGCCCATATTGGGCTTGAATAGAATTGAATGTAAAAGATCCTTTGTTTCACCTCGCGAAGTTAGGGGCTTTCATATGAGAAGTAAAACCTTGCCCATCATTGAATTCATGTTGTAAAGTTGTTTACAGACTGGAAAAGGATAGAATGGGAGTGTACAGAAGGAATAAAACGAAGAAAGTATTACTGAAAATGTTAAAAACTTTTTAAACCTGGCAATAAGGGACTCTTGAATGCAGTTTTAAAATTGGACCGCAGGCCTATAGCTGACGACAGGCGCAGCTACCCCCCCCCCCCCCAGGGCCCCCAACAGTTTTTTCTTCACTGCCCCCCCCCCCCCCCCACAATAGGCCCCTTTTTTCTTTGTGAAGGAATCCATTGACATATTGTGCCTTGGAGCACTTTCCCTTATATTAACAACAACAATAACTATTATTCACCTCCAAACTTGGAAAAATAATTTTTTTTTTTTATATACGGCTTTCCCGACAAAATATTATGTGGATTGAGATTCTCATACTTTGTTTGATATATGGGGTATATTGGATTCTCTTCAGTCTTGTTTCTTTCTGGCTCTCTTTCTGGCTCTCTTTCTTTCTCTTTCTCTCTCTCTCTCCTTCCATTCGGACTGAAAAAGTATTGAATATGATTATGATTGATGGATAAAACATAATTGCTGTCCTTTGTGTATTCGTATAATACTTTACTTTGTTTACAAGTTCATTGTAAGGTCATGGTATCGATCAATTAAAAGAATAGCAATTAATAGGTACTTTGAGCAACATCAAAATGGGTTCAACATCATTCTTTAAGTTTTTTTCTCAAATCCACTAGCTGGGTATCGAACCCAATACCTTCCACTTACCAGGCGATCGCCTATCCACGAGACTAAAGTGTCCAACTGCTATCTTCAGGTATTTTCTTGTGTTAATACCTATTGTTGTATGTGTAGCAAAAGACGAAGTCGTTTGTTAAGGAAAGAGCATTACATGGTATTTTCTCCTTTGTTGAAGAGGGGGGGGGGGGGGGGGGTGGGGTGTCCCCGTTAATAACAGAGATGGACAAGTCAATATCATGGGACGAAGAGTATATTTTTTTTCTTCATTTCAGGCAGCCGCTGAATAGGGGGGGGGGGGGGGAGGAACACTTTTTTTTTCTCCCTCCTTTAGCACCCCAAAAAATTATAATTTTTTTGTTTATAATAACAAAAATTGAGGGGGTTTAACCCTTAATTTTGTTTTAATGTGTGTTTTTTTGAGGAAACCCACCCTCCTCAAAAAAAAAATTAATTTAAAAAGTAGTTCTGGACATCAATCACTCTTATCCAATTTTCTACATTAGTCAGGACTCAAAAAGCAAAATACAGAGAGTACACACACCATGTTTTTTAATTTTTTATCTGTATACAAAAATGTTTCATTTATTTCAATGCAAAGCGATAAGTACTGGTTGTTACAAAGAACACAATTTCAGTAGATATACTTTTCCACAAATATCATATATCAGTAAAAGATATACAGGTGCGTGTATATTGATAATTAAACTACATTTCACTGAAGTATATATATCTAAAATGAAAAGAATATGTGAAGACTGAAAATACCAATATCTGAAATAGTTGCACATAGAGTTTTTCATTTTCTCACATAAGAACTAATTTTCATGAAAAAAATGAAGTAATTTCAGTTGAACTTAAGAAAACTTTTGAACATTATTTCTGAAACTACATACATGATCTTATGAAATGTAACAGACATGTAGTTAAATACTCGTACAACTTTTTTTAAACAATATCAATGATTTCATTGCAGAAGCACATTGCATAGAGTTAAACAAAATATTCCAAATGGATAAGTTACATTCAGATTTATAATATCCACTGCACCAGCACCAGTATGAACTCTGTAGCACTAACTCGTTTCGTAAGAGGAAAACAGACAAAAAAATAGATATTGATGCAGTTTTTATTTTTTTCCATTTTCAGATAGTTTGTGACATATTTTATCTCCTTTTTAACAAAAGTTAAACAACGTCTCACCATAATAACTAGGCCGGTACACTTTTGGTGGACTGGTTGAGAAAAGGAACCATTTTTAATTCTTTCAAAAATCACTGAATAGGTTTTTGAACATTTTATTGCAATAATCATCAAATCTCTCCTCTTAATCTGATCTGGTGTTTGAACAAAATGTAAAAGAACAGTATTTGAGCCAGTATGTTGTTACCAGCTACTACAAAAAAAAGATATAAAAAGAAGAGGTGTCTACCTGCCAACCTTTCGCAGCAAATTTTGGGAATCTCCTAAACCAAATTTAGGAATATACCGGTACTGTATTTTTACAGCTGTTTTCAGTAAACGAGAGGAACTAATGAGGGAAGAAAGATGGGGCAGACCAACTAGGACATGGACTGTTAACATTACCCGGTGGACAGGAAAGTCATTTAAGCAGCTAACTAGAACAGCTGAAGACAGAAAGTTATGTAGAATCTGTGACCCCTATGGTCTCCATGATATGGAACATATAGATAGGTAGATATATAGAACACTAGTTTGAAGGCGGAAAACTGGGAATCATTCTTCCCAAATAGGAATGGTTGGCAACTATGCAGATTTGTATCACTTATATGACAAAACAATAAAGCAAGTAAACAGCAGGGTGACACTGAAATCACATGAAATTGGAAACTCAAAGAAAAAGGTATTGCACTGGAATCCATCATTCAGTGATGATTTAATCAATCATTCAAAAATGAATATTGCAAGGAATAAAAGAGAAGTAAACATTCAAAAATAGGATGGAGAAAAATTAAGTTGTTTAGAAATTACATTGCAAGATTTAACACTACACCACCATCAACAACAACCAAGGTCTTATTGGTAGCCCAGTATTGGATTTAATTTGGGTTTAACTGGATACAAGCGTGTAGAGGTGTCGTGGTCAAGTTGATATGTCACTGGACTGTGGATCACAAGGTTGGCGATTCAAGTCCCGCTGCAGCACTAATGTCCTTTGGCAAGACATTTATCTACATTTGCCACACTTGACCCAGGTGAGGTAAATGGGTACCTGATAGGATTATTCCTCAAAATGCACCCTGGGCTGATAATGGCTTAAGCTTGGGTAATAACTTCCAAAAGCTCTTTGGAAGCTCATAGGAACATTATAATGTGATATGCATGATACAAGAACGGAATCTTATTATTATAATGTGCTAACATGGTTCTCGTAAGTTTGTTTAATACAAATCCATTAGGGATGAGACCGTGAGTGACTTGGTGAGCTCTTCAGCGGACGTTGGCTCCCAAGCAAAGAAAGACACGGACAATGAGGGCGTCATCATGAGGAAGCCATTTTGCGAGAAGCGCCCTCTAAGACTGCCGCTATCCAGCCAGGTGAACGGAGCGATTGTGCTTGTTTTGAGGGTGACGAGAAACTCGTCTGATCCCACTTTGCTGACAGAAGAGATCTAAGGGGGAATTGAAAAAAAGTTGAAGGTAAAGAGAAATGGGCTGCATGACCTTATAATAATAACATTAATAATAGGCATTTCTATAGCGCCATCTATCTAGAAATTCTATTCCGAGGCGCATTTCGGCTTTAGCCTATAGCTGCCATTACAGCGTTCTAGCATTTCAAGGAATTAATTCCTGCCAGGTACCCATTTACATCACCTGGGTTGAGTGCACAATCTTACAATAAATAAATGTACAAGACAACTTGGACCACAAAGAATTAACAATTATGTAAACTTTGTCCAAAAATAAAACGCAGCACTCACTTTGATGGTTGGCTTTTTGAGTCCTACCACTTCACTGAAGGATGCCAGGAAGATGGGGTTGGTCGGAGAGAGCTGGGTGGAGTTACTATGATAGATCGCCATGGTGATGAAGCACGAGAGGAGGGGGTCCTGATGACCACACCCTGCTTTCTGTAGGAGGCCTGCATTGAGGGGTGTTTTGATGACCATCTTTGATGATGAAATATTCTGGGCAAGATTTAAAGGTAGAAATGGTAGAAATCTTATGGCCGTGTTAATATTAATAATTTATATCCATTTCTATAACACAGCATGTTCTTTGCTTCTCCAATGCTTGCATTATTGTTGCACAGAAAAAAATGATTTGATATTTCTCTCTTCAGAAAACTTGATGCTTCATTCTAGTGTTTTGTAACTTTAGGTCTGTCAAAAATGGTGTAAACTGTAAAGCAAAGAATATTGTTGTTCTCTCTTTTCTTTTACATATTATTGATGATTACTATATTTGCAGCAAGAAACTTCTATGAATAGCAGAAATTTCACAGCAGGAATTCAATTATATCATGGAACAAAATTCATGCGAATCTTGACCACTAGCAAAATTTAATAAAAATGTCAGGTTTCACAATAACAGTAGCCAAAAAAAAAAAATTCATAGCAGCTTATTCACTTTATAAAATTAAAAAAAATTATAATTATATGGTGTCTGTAAAAACAGAAAAAAAGAAGAAAAAAGATGAGAGTAAAATTCCTAGGCACTTACCTGTGAAAAATAATTAGTAACCTGATACCGCGCTTTCAGATCCGTCCACAACCAAACTGATGTGACAAAGCTAGCATTGACCAGATTAACCCTGTCTGTGATGGAATACCCATAGACATCTCCACCTTGTATCATCCCAGAGGCGAGGACAGGAGAAAAGAAATCCTTCACGTAGTAATGAAGCATCTTCCATTTGCCTCCATACTCTGTGGGGTCAAAGGTCACAACGGTGCTTGTTATGGTCAAAATCAATGAATTTGTGATAATGTGTATCCTACATGTATGTTATCGTTTTAATTGTTTTTCTTTGGTGGGCTTGTGCATAAGCTAGTGCAGAATGTGATGTTGAACAAAGTAATCGGATAATTTAAAGTTCATCTCACATCATTTCAATAGTGTAGGTATTGGCTGACTTTTGTGTACATTGACAATTCACTGAAATGTGTCCATACAGCATAAGTCTTTTATTCAATCATATCGTCTAAAAATTATTGGTGTCATAAAGAAATTTGAAATTAGTTCTTAATTAAAGCATTAGTAAGTCAATTAACCGATCAGCAAATAGAGATTTTGTAAAAATGGCCTTTTACTCACTGGAAGATGTTGCAATCATTGCTCTCATTTTGACATTGTTCTGACCAATATAAAACATGCGCTATTTTTCTATGCAGAATCTTACTGTAGACATCGTAAGGATACACGTTTAACATTATCATGGTAGACCCTAGAACAGATACTATAGCGCATGGGAAATGGACGAGCTGTTCAGTGAGTAAAAGAAGGGGTGGTTTCGGGCGGTGTAGTTGCTATAGGGTTAATATAAATTGTTACATGACATTCTGAATCTGAACTATGGTCCTCTTGTGCATGCTAAACTCTTCAGAACAATCACTGGCCTATATTGTTCTTCAAATTGGTTTGAAGCTAGCTGTTGATAAAATGACTGACCTATGGATGACCATGTAGGGGCCTGCCAGATGTCGTTGAACTGCCAGTAGAGCGCCCCCATACAGTGACCCTGGCCATCGACTAAGATGCTCTGAAGACGTCTGTAGTGCTCCGTCTCAAACTTGATGCATAATGCTTGGGAGATCTGCAAACAAAATTATTGTGATTATTATTATAATAATCATAATAATAACAACATTTATAAAGCGCACATATCCACCCCAAGAGATGCTCAAGGGGCCTAATAATGTAAATACATTAAACTTAAGAAATTACATGAGAAGTTACAAAGAACAAAAATAATGTAACATAATTAAATATAATTAAACAACGTTAATTACATCAGATTGTTGTTATCATTATTGTTGTTATTATCATTGCTGTTATTATTATTGATGTTGTTGTTGTTGATATTGAGACTTTCCTATGAATATAAAACTGATTGGGATGTCCAGGTGGACTAGTTGGGCCCTGTTTCATAAAACTGCTATCACTAACAAGTTAAAATAATTGTTATAAGCTACTGAAATTGTGGCATTTGATTGGCTGAGTGCAACTTTGTCATAGAAACTTAGCATTTGTTATTGATATCAAATTTTGTGAAACAGGGCCCAGCACTACACTTGGGTTCCTCCTTACTCTTATATGAATGAATATAGTACCAGGCGCGGATCCAGGATTTTCCAATAGGGGGGGCCGGAAATTTGAAAATCGCGCAAACCATTATTTCAACTCAACATACCAATACTGACAAGGTCATAATAAAGGGCACTGTACCGCGTACCGGTACCTACAAGCGGGTACAATTTTGGAAAGGGGGCAGGCTCACGTCACGTCTCTTGTCCGATATCAACATTCCCCGTTTTAAGTTATGCTCGCGCGCGGTAGCAAAATGTTTGACATTTTCATCGAGGGGGGGGGGGGGGGGGCGGGGAACTGCAGCCTCTTTGCCCGAATATTAATTTTCTGGTTTCACATTTTGGCGAGCGAGCGAAAATTTGAGCATATGTTTATTGTGAAAGTGTAATTCATTATAACAAAAATATACGATATAAGATATTTAAAAAAAAAATGCATATTAGTATTCTTTATATTTTCGGGGAAAGAGAGGCTGCAACCCCATCCCGCATTAACTGCAGGTGTTATGAAATGAAATTTGAATAATTGTGCAGTAAATATATAGAAACAGCTCTTGCTACAACCATGTTTGCAATGAAAACTGCCATTTATTTGGAATTCAAGAACAATTAAACTCCTGTGGTACTATTATTTCATGACTGTCAAAGTATGAAACACTTTCTTCATTGACATATCTTAACACATTTATATTCATGAATGACTTGATCACTCTCGTTAGCTTAACAAAAATACCAACATGCTCATATTAACCCGTATTCCATGTGCATACAATATAAATATAAGTTTCTTTTTTTACAAACCAATAAGAAGCAAAGACGTCGATTCTTTTTCATTGTTAGGGATGAATTATCTTAGTGAAAAACGTTTCATTGTATACAACAGCCCAAATACCATCATAGGCTACTGCGCAAGTACTATGCTGACTGAGGTCCTATATTCAAATCTTATCTCTTTAAAGTGAGAAAACATAATCATGTTTGTACAAATGAAAAGAAAACAAAAGTATCTATCAAACATACTCGTACACTATCACTTCGAAGAATCTGTATATTGATATTAATGTTGGAATCTAAAATAAAGACAAGCATCTATTTCAGTTACCTTCCAGTTGTATTATAATGGAGGATATAGTAAATATTGAAGATTGCGGGGCTAATTAAAAGCTATCCGTGATGACATGTATTGTAGCAGGCGTATATTAGATCTTAAACCGAGTATTTTTCAGCCGTTTGTATTTTCTTTTACTGAAGCAAACTAAGCAAATCTGGACAGGGGTTGCAAGAGTATTATAAACTCAGCAAATAACTCTTGTGTAAAGCCCCGTTTTTACCGTGTCATGTCGAATGGGCATAGGGCATTTGGGAGAAAATGTGTAATCCACGCTGTAATCCTGTATAATTGCAAATTTAAAGGCCATCAGTATTTGCGACTATGATTTAGGGGGAGAGAGAGAGAGAGAGAGTGGGTTATAAGAGCAGTGAAAATCACACGAGGTTGATTTCGATGGCGGATCTTGCATTCTATAACAAGGAGGCATAACTAGAAGAGGTATTAACGGTTGACGGAATCTGGCAAACAGACAGTGATGGTAAAAATAAAGTGACATATTTTCGACAGTGTAAATCACAATAAAATAAAAGCCAGTTTTGCTCCGAGAAAGAAACAAGGTTGACTGCACGGCACTGTCTTTGTCACACAATTTCAATGCAAGTGCCTCAAATACATGTAATTAGTTCATTAATCAAAGAAGATAAAAAGGTACATGTACAATAAACTCAGGTGTGCTCAGTCCAGTACATCACAATTATTAACATGGTCGGATAACATTTGCCACGATCAATTCACGTACAGTTCCTCATGTCCTGCGCTAATGCGATTGTGATCCGTATGGACGTCGTTCACGTTAAAGTTAATGACGCTCGAATGTTCAGAAGTTATAATATATCCACCTAACCATATTTTGGCGGAAATAGGATTGTGAAACCCTGGATTGAGCGACACTGAGTATTAACATTCAGCTTCAGCAACCCCGTACATTATATTGTCCATATATAACTTTGAGTTTGGCAAGTTCAGAGAAAAAATCCTGACGAAATGCAAAAGGTTCTGAATTTGTATAACAGCACTTCAACTGTCTTCCTGCTGTCATCCGATTTCCCTTTAAAGATGCCGGAAAGTCATCTTTCGAGGATGACGGTTTGCAAAAACGTCTACTATCTTTCCGTAGTCAAGCTGGATGTCCTTGTGGATGAAGAGAAGTAGGAGCGCATTTAACCTATCTTCCCCCATCATGCTTCGGGAATTAGATTTCACAAATCTCAGGGCTGAGTTGCTGCGTTCCACACTTGCACTGGTTACTGGAGTGATCAGCAGCATTTTCAACATCGTCACTACATTTGGAAATGACGAGTAGTTGGTGGTTTGAAGACATTCCACTAGTGTTGTCGGAAGTGGACCATCTTCTACTGCGAAGGTGCTCCTGTAAAAGCGTACGAAATTGATTTCCTTTTATAAGAGTAGTGTATGACTAATAAATTATACAATATTAGCCTTTGTATAGTCTACAATTTTAACGAAATTTGTAGTTCAATAAAATAGAACGCCGTATCGCTCTTTGTTCTGATGATAAATAATGATTCATTTCGAGTCATTTTATATTAAGACATTATGAAAGTTCTTTGGTTCTGATACCGTGAAATACAGTGACAAATACAGGCAACTTTAGCTATCTCTTTAAAACAGATAAATAAGTGTAAGAAGTTAGATAATGGTGTGTAGCCCAATTTAATTTCCCCACAGCTGTCTTCCCATTTTTGGTTTTTGAAAGGTTGAAAAGATGTCTCTTTCGGGGATCGAATCCGAGACTTAGGATTAGAACGCTAATGCTCTGGGGAACTTTGAATTGAGCTACGCACCATTATCTAAATTGTCACAATATATTGAGATGGTGAATATCCTTTTACAGTTCTTTTTTGGTTTATGGGATGAAATGCATAGTGAGAAGAGGATTCAACCAAGAGATGACGCAGGAAAACCTGGTTATAGCTTAAGAGCTTTCGTCCGTCTGGACTTCTTCAGATGAGGTTGTCATGCGTCATCTCGTGGATGAATCCTCTTCTCACTATATATATATATAATATATTACCCTAAAGCAACACTTACCAGTGACGTCTCCATAGCTGTAATTCCTGTGGTGCAACTTTGGGGAATGGCAAATCTGGCTCATAGAAAGCAAGCAGTCTTTCTTGCACGTCGCTTGTAAGTTTCTGTACCATGTTAGGCATTAACATGATCCCTTGCAGTGCATGTGCTGACAGTCCTTCAAACCTGTCTCCTAGTTGTTGTAATAAGCTGTCAAGGAAAGGTACAAACACTGTTCGTCGGTAAAACGTGCTTGGCTTTTTCCCGGATGTGTTACTGCGTAGGGTCTGTTTGGCGCATGTACGAGGTACTGAAATGCTGACACCTGCTGCATTGGACATACTTGTAGCCTTTCCCCATACATATCCGAATGTCCTTTTGGAGTTCTGTCGTACGGCAGATAACTCATCTTTGATATGTTTGACTTTGTTATAAGCTTGGATGACGTCAAGTTCGCTCCCTTGCAGGTTTTGACTCAATGAAAAGGTGAAACCAAAGAGATAAAGAGCTGATTGGAACGAGGCAATGAATGTTGAACTTGTAATTTGATGGAGTAACCCACTTGCCTCTACCGTGGTATTGCTCCATCTTCTGTCCTCATTTCGTGAGATCCTTTCCAAGCAGTGAATGAGAGGTTCGTATAGGTCCTCAAAGTCCATTAGAGCAGTGTGCCTCTCCACCCACCTCGTCTCACAAATGGGTTTTATCTTCTTTTTGGATAGTGGATTGCTCTTAACTTCACGAGGATGTGGTGGTACATAGTCCTCTGTGGTCTGGCCGTCACCTTCTGAGTCATCATCATCATCACCATCATCATCGCTTTCCTCTTCTACGACGGTACATGCGGGAGCGGCTGGGTTGTTACCTCCTTCACCATCTTTGTTGCTGTTATCGGGTCTCTCCTCTTCGCATGACGCCCTTTTGTCGATGATAGCTACGATACTTTCTTCAAAAGCCCTTTGGCGCTTTGGTGAGTTCCTGAAGAAGTAACCGAGCGATCGGAGAGTGCAAATCATGTTATGGATTTCGGGCACTTTACATGCATAACATAGGGCGAGATTTAACCCATGACTTGCACAGTGGTAGTAAGGGGCCCTTGGAGATGTCTTCATAAACTCTGCTGCGCAGCCATTCCTCACCCCAGCCATATTCCCTGCACCATCATATGTTTGGGCACGGCACAATTCTGGATTTAACCCCAGGTTCCTCAAGCAAGTGACGATATGCTCGCATATTTGCTGTCCTGTGCACGATTCGCACTCGATAAACTCGAGTAGCTTCTCTACCGGCTGATTGTTGTGGAGGTAACGGACAACTAACCCAATTTGCTCCCAGTTGGAAACATCCGTTACCTCATCTGCCGAT